AAAAAAAAAAGAACTGTGTGAGTTGTCGCACTATGTGAGTTGTTGCTGTGTGAGTTGTCGCACTGTGTGAGTTGTCGCTATGTGAGTTGTCACTGTGTGAGTTGTCGCTGTGCTAGTTGTCGTGTAATCGTACATGTGTATACATGGACGTACATGTGTGTACATGGATGTACATGTGTGTACATGGATGTACCTGTGTGTACATGGATGTACATGTGTGTACATGGATATACATGCATGTACATGGATGTACAAGGATTATTTATTATTTATTATAGTTTCAAGTATTATTTATTATATCTTCACAGACAGTCAATACAATACAATTTTACAGAGCAAAGCAGCGTAGACTTGGCGTTTGGACAAGGTCTAGTGCGGTAAACTTAATGCAACATAAAATGCACCTGTATATAGCTTTGGCCGGCCAAGGTCAAGGAACGCGCATAGGAACCAATTCAGATCGGGGACGTCACACTTCATTTATTTAAAGGAAGGAAGCGTGAGCAAGGTTGGGAAAGTATTCCGTCAACAACTGGATTGGGAAATATAATTGCTAGCTCACCAGGCGGTGGACGCGCATCTTGCCGGAGCTAATATATGCTCCACTAAAATATGAGCCAGTGTGCCCCTTCAGCCCCTCTGTCATAACAAATAATTGATTACAACAATGTAGTTTTTTTAGGTCCTTGAAAACAAAGTTGAATGAGCAACTTCATTACCAATTTTTTGTCAGAAAGAAAGCTATTTAACTGGTCCCAATGGCTTCATATTGTAACAGGATTTTACTGTTGTTGAGGCTGAACTTTTTCCAGCAACTGTGTGCCCAAACACATTCCCTCAATTATTCCCACCACATAAAAAATGGCTAACCACAGAAAACTGACATAAAAATGAGTTTACAGCTAGGATGCAAAAGTATTGATTAATTGAAGTGGATCCTTTTCCCTTCCAAAAGTATATTTTCAATCAAATTTCATGTTCTTCCTTGTCTTAGATATTTTTGAGTGAAGGAAGTTTCAAGGTTGAAACATTTCAATTTAAGGAGGTTCAGGACACATTGCTTGAGAGTGACTTGACAAAATTGAGCCAGAAAGGGTTTTGAATGAAAGAGGTTGGATGTTTCAAAGGTTTGACTAAATTTTGTACTGACAATTTCATAAAATTGTGTAATGCATATTTGGGCATCAGACAGGTTGGTTCATCAACAGTAGTATAATAGAGAGGTTATTTTATTCCATCAAGGTATCAACAGGAATAAGTTTTCTATGAGCCCCATCCCCCCATGATGGTGAAAGAGGGGTGAATTTGCAAAAAAATTCCCAGGTCCTGGGTTTGGGTGGGTGCCCCACCACTACCAGTAACCCATGGAGACCAACTGCTGCATGGTAACCAATCCAAACTTTCCAAATACGTGATCCACCAGTTAATCTTACAGGAAATTATCCTTTCATCATTCTAGTCTAAGGAGTATTTTAGAAACAATAAAAGGGCCAGGATTTATTGCTTTTTATGCCCTTCAGGATTTTTTTTTTCATCACAACGAGCAACACATGGCCTAATACTCCAATGCCTGAATCCTTTTCACAGCCATACTGAACAGCCCTCCAATCAGTCGTCACAGGAATTACTTTTAGAGACTTCAAATTGTATCTCCTCAGTCAAGATGATACATTTTCTTGGGCTCAAATCACAATACTTTTCTTGAATTTCCCATGTACACATCTTAGTGGAGAATTTCTCATTGTTAACACATAAAATGAAGGCAAATATATAAATTGCTTTAAAAAATGAAATACATAACTCTACAAAGAAAAGTTTTGCTACAATAACAATTAACAGTTTCCAAAGCAACATAAATGTGTTTCAATAATCTCATAAGAAGAACAAAAAAGGAATGAAAAGCTTAAAACCAACCTTGATTTGAAGTTAAGAATAAACGCATGCTGAAACACAACGGGCTGACAGCATATTTGACAATTATTGGGAATACATTTTCACATTAGACTTTGAAGTACTGTATTAGACAAAAAATGAATTTGATGAAGGAGTGAATTCTTTCAGCAACAGCAGCAAAAAAAGAAAGAAAAAGTGTGTCAAGTACTCTTCTCCCCACAAAAACATGGCATAAATCACATATTCTCTATTTTTTAAATTTTGAAAACAAAGCATAAGAACAAAGGTCACCAATTAACCAGAATATAGGAAAATCAAGGAATGGCCTTCAAAAGTGACAACAGGTGTAAGTTCCCACAATTCCCACACATGAAGGCTGATTGAGAGATTTGGGGAAGAAAAAGAATCATAACATAATGACCAAATTTATTCAGTACATTAACGTTTCAAGTACAGTATAATGTTCATTCATGTAAGCTTCATGAAAGAAACATTTAGAAACTGTTATTCCCAGTTCTGGTGAGGTACTGTAATATAATGAAAGGTTTCAGGCTGTTATTGGCAGTACCCGGCAAACACTTTAGGCAGCAACATGGAGTACATGAATATCCTCCTTATTGGCAGTATATTTGAAATCACGACAATCACAAAAGCATTGGAGTTCAGATCTTATTCAAATGCCATGCTCACAAATCAAACTTTGACTTTCACAACATTTGGACAAGTGGAATGCGCTCAGAAATGTGAAATGGCAGAAGGATGTCTGGGCTTCAGCACAACACCTGAGTTGCAAATAATTCAATGCAGAATCAGTTTGGCAAACATCTCTTGGACTCAAGATTCAAACTCAATTTTGTTCATACGTGAGTTGAACCTACAGCTTCACAAAACAATGTTTGAGCTAAAACACAACTTGATTTTGAATTATGTTATTTCAAAGCAATTGACATGGATATATCAGGATACACCCTGCTGTCAGATGGGAAACTATACAAGACATTTCCAGACATTCCTACATTTCCTTCTGCAAGGGAAAAATGTTATGCAGATGGAGCCACTTTGTCATCTCCTTATCCAACTAATGTATGGGCCATGTTGGCTGCTTTTGTGCCCATCAATGACTCCATACCAATTGGAATTCATGCACTCAATAGATCCAATGGTGACTGGGCCACCATGGATGGTAATTTGATGCTATTCATATCCATTAGTAAAATTTCTGATATTGGAAAAAGAATGTAGTCAGTGATTTATGATTTGGGAAGCAAAATCTGAATGATAAAATTCAATATGCCACACATCATAGATTTTATTAAACTAGCATGCAGGGCATAATGGGCCATTCTCTTCCTTGCAAATTTCTCCAGAATTAGATTGTACAACAATTGAACCTGAGTTAGACCTGAGATGCATTTTTTCAGTATTATTCAATCCTGGTTTGCCTATATGTAACAGCCACAAATCTCCTCCTGCAAACGAACATTTCAGCAGCAGCCCCTTTTTTAAATTTGCCTTGTGTTCAAACACAATGATATATTACTCACCAGGACACACATTCAACTCAAAGGATCAAATGATTGATCCCAACCAACACTGGGCCTTAGATGAACCCACTCCTGGAGGCAAAAATTGTGTGCGCATGAATGGTCCACAGAGGGCTAGAAACATGACATGGGAGAATGTGGTATGCAATAGCACAGCTAATTTTTTGGCAGTATGCAGGAAAACTTCTGTTTGGCTCCAAGCCAGCACTGGGAAGTTATACAGATTCATCACAAGGAATTTCACAAGACAAATGGATGCTGAGAGGGCCTGCAATATGGTTGGAGGCACTCTGGCCAACATGTTTTCAAGGGAAATATTCACAGCTACACATGGAATAAGAATGGCAGCCTATGGGAGGAATTTTTACATAGCTGGTAGTGATCAAGATCAGGAAGGCATCTGGGTCCTTCCTGATGGTAAATATACAAATATCATGTTGAGAAATTGCACACACAAAAGATTCAAAGTACAAATAATGTAAAATCACCAAACCTGCCAAAATTCAAATAATTGATATTCTGCAGAACAGAAATCACCTTTCAAAAAGGAACATGTCCTCCTGTTCACCTATTCAATGAAAATAACTGAATAATTATGCATTTGTGAAGTACCTTCTGTAGCTATTCCTGTCATTCACATGTTTTTTAATTCTAATTTTACACATTGTATGCTTGATTTCACATTCCAGGATGAGCTTTAATCAAAACTGCTGAGTCATCTGAGTGACCTACTGTGATAACATATGTATTAATGGTGAAAAAAGCCAGTAAAACAGCAATGAGAATCCCCCTTCCACTCATACACCAGCAATCAAATATTTTCAAAAAAGTGGACGAAAGAAGCATAATAAATGATTTAAAAGTATAAAGCACAGTTACAAAGGAATCAATTGCCATTGTTTGCATGAACACTTGGATTCCTTATTACTCAGGTGGATGTGCAGGGTTAGCATAATATGATGCAATATACATCCTTCAATTCCAAAAGGTACCATTATTGATGCAAACCTCAAGGAAACTGATGTTAACCAACCATGGCAATCTGGAGATCCCAGTGGAAAAAGGGCAGAAAACTGTGCAGCCATGACTCAAAATGGAATTGCTGATGTTGGCTGTTCTCTTTATTGGCAGAAAACCTACTGGGCATTTTGTGAAAGAATGTAATCCCATGGAACTGAGCTCATTATGCAACAGGATACATTTTGATGAGCTCCACTGAGAATTCAAGAGCAAACCCTGATATTTTGCAGGATGAATAAAAAAGCTTGAAGTTTCTCTCAGCTATTCATGAATAGCACCTTCACATTTCTATGCAAGAACAACATTTTTTGTGCAATAAATAGTTCAAAAACAAAATAAAATTACTGCAATTGATATGAAGTTTCCATTCATTACAGCCCAAAATTTATCATAATTTACCATGTAGGTACAGCATTTCAAATCACAGCACATATTGAACCAAGTCCACCACTCCATGTAATATAGTCATGGTGATTTCAGAATCAAATATGATCCCATAATAGTGAAAAAATGGTAATTCTGCATTATAATTTGCCTATATGCAACAGTTAGACCAGTGGAATGTGATCAGATAAAGTACATATTGAAATGACACAAATAAACAAGATCAGCAGAGCACTGTATTTTGGAAACATTCAATTCCATATCACTTTGAAAAACAATTTTTCAACTCCAGATTCAAAATTACATTTTCATATGACTAACTTAATTCACAAGCGCACCTGTTCAGCTCAAAACATCAATAAATTTTCTAACGGTGCTCTTTCATGACAATTTTTGTAATACTAATAATATAGTACAGTACTAATAATATCTCATAATATATCTAATAATATCTAATAATGTATCTAATAATATCTAATAATATCTAATAATATAATATCTAATAATATAATATCTAATAATATAATATCTAATACTATAATATCTAATAATATAATATCTAATACTATAATATCTAATAATATAGTACTATTAATATCTAATAATATAGTGCTAATAATATTTAATAAAATAGTACTAATAATATCTAATAATATAGTAATAATAATATCTGATAATATAGATCGGAATAAACTATATTGTCAAAAGGTTGAAGAAAGTAAATTCATACATTAAGGTGCTTCCTTATATTATCAATTTTATTCAGCAAATAAAATATGCTGTGCATGCACACAGACACCATCTATAATGACCAGCGGGATCAATGATGGACCTGTGGAAAACTGACAACATATGGTAGCTCCCACCAATTCCATTGAAAAGGAAAACATACTGTAAATTGCCCAAGAACTGAAAAGGAAGAAACACATTGACTTACTTTGTACTTCATGCACTGGTCCTGCATGTGATATTCAAGGAATAAGCAAATAACCATCTTCATTCTCTCTTTCATGCACAGTACTGGGTATGTTTTCAACATGTGCAAGCCTCTTGCTATTCCCCAGAGAAAAAACTCAGATTGAAACATGAAGTTCATGAATATTCTTCTCTGTACCATATTTGGCATCTTGATCAGCACAAATGCATTGCAGTTTAGATTTTATTCAAATGCCACAATAAAAGCCCAAAATTTGACTTTATTAACATTTGGACAAGTGGAATGTGCTGAAAAGTGTGAAATGACTGAAGGATGTTTGGGCTTCAGCACAACACCTGAGCTGGGGCTCATTCAATGCAGGATCAGTTTAACAAATATATCCTGGACTGAAGATGCAAACTCAAATTTATTCATACGTGAGTTACTTCACAATTTTAAAAAATGTTTAAAGGAAAAACAAATTGACATTGAATTATGTTATTCCATAGCAATTGACATGGAATTCTCAGGATACACCCTGCTGTCAGATGGGAAACTATACAAGACATTTCCAGGCACTGCTACAATTACTGTCAGCAGAGCAAAGTGCACTGCAGATGGAGCCACCTTGTCATTGCCATATCCAACCAATGTCTGGTCCATGTTGGCAGCTTTCATGCCCACCAGTAACCAATTGCCCATTGGAATTTATGCAACTAATAGATCCAATGGTGACTGGGCCACAATTGATGGTAATGTACTGCCATTCATCCCCATCAAGTCAAGCTGCTCATACCAAGATCTATACCTAAAACAGTTTTCATTTAATTAGAAGCTTTCAGATTACATGGTTGCGCAGTCACACTTCAATGTGGCAATGAAAGGCTTACTAAATCAAGAAAATACCATACATCACATTGGACAATTTGAAACTGTTGCTTACACTTTTGAAAAAGCATTTCATCAGGACTTTAAAAGGATCTAAGTTGCAGATCTCTGTTCATCTTTTTCTAAGATCCAAATAATGCTTTGAAATATTCAAATTTTTTGCAGTCATGGTGTTTATTTAGAGATGGATGGAACAGCAAAATTGTGCAAGTATGACGCTCTTTAAAAGAAGTGACACTGATGTTGTGAAATAGAGGATATGTTTATTCAGTCAAGATCCAGGGCATTGCTGAGAGTGGTCAATGAGAGTTGGGATCAGGCTCAGCCCCTCCTTCCACAGCTTTTGCAGCCACCTTTCCTTCTGGAACACCCAATGCATTGGGTGTATCTTATCTATAGAGATAGATAAGATAGATGATGAGGCTTACATGTAAGCCTCTGTCTTGAATATTGAGTGGGTCTCTTGCAAATGAGCCTTGCAATCCCTGTCAAATGAATTTGTGCACTTGCTCCATGATAGCCAATACCTTTTCTACCTTTGTGTCCCAAAAAGGGACATTATGGATACCTCTTGGCTTCCTGGATCTAAAACCAGCCAATAAGGGGTGCTGATAGCCCAGCCATTGTCATCAAATACAAGAGGGCAAAAGTCCAAGTTGCCTTCTATTTTGACTGGTGCTGAGGACCAAATCTTGTTGATATTCTGGCCAGAGTGCTTCTGAAGTGAAGTCTCCAAGCAGGCCTCTCTTATTTACTTCGTTCACCAGAGGCTAGAATTGCACAGTCATGTTCAGGTTTGGCACTCTCAATAAGAGACATGCTTGTCCAAGATCAACTTCCTTGCCACACTTGTGTCTTCTTTCAAAGAAACTGACATTTTTCTACATCTGCCATGAGGGTCACATTCTTGAACTTATTTAATGCTCAAGAACACATGTTCAAGTCACAATATGCAACAACCCATTATCAAGAAAGTAGAGTTTTTCCTCAACGACACCACATTTGATGTCCTTGTTGTCTCAGGTAGTTGACAAGAGCTAACCAATATTCCATGAACAAAGTGATTTTTAAAAAAAATGATGCATGGTGGCTAGACCTGCATTCTTGTTCCATTGCAAGAGTGCTGGGATACTATATTCTAGTTACAATTATGCTATAACCCCTGTACTATTTTGCACACATGTTTGCAGCACTATATTTTACATTTCTCAGAAATGGTACATAACTTGTACATAGGAATGAGGTTATTAGTATTGATGCACAGTACATGAAAAATACAGTAGAACTTCTATCACAAAAACTCCATACATCAGTCAGCCTCGAAGAGTTGCTGTTGGTTCCTAGCTATAATGAAATGAACAGCATTTGTGTAAGAAAATTATTCCAATCAAGATGCATCTTCCACAAGCTTATATCAAGCAGGAAAATACAGCAATACTGTACTGTAAATATGAATAGTTTAGCAATTACAGTAACATTTGTAACTTGAAATCAGATATTCAAAATTTTGTAAGGTGAAAAGTAAGAAGCAACAACATTTAGTTGAGAAACTATAGAGCAATTTATTTGACAGAGAGAAAGAGAGAATGCACAAAAGCATGTACACCATCAGCAGCTGTAATTGAGGGAGTGTAGAGTATTATAACAAGGAGGAGTATGACATTAACAAGGGATATGGTACATCAGTTTCATTTCTGAAACAGAAAAAACGTGGTATTGATCCTGTAGTCTTCCTCATCCCATTATTATTACTCTTCATTCTTGTTGCTCTCCTTGTTCTTCTCAATCTTCTTCTTCTTCTCTTCCTCCTTCTTCCGCAACACTTCCTCCCGTCGTTTTGCAGCATCATCATGCTTCTTTGCATCATCCTGGTCCCCTTCAGCTGGACTCCGCGGTGCCTTGGTGGGCCATTCCCCATCTGGCCCAAGTTTCTCCTTCAACTCAGCAATATCATCCTCGCGCTGCTTGTACATGAACTTGAGCAAGCGTTTCTTGAGCTGGGGATTGGCCTTTTTCAACTTTTTGACAAATGTGTCCTTTTGCTTCTTGTTCATGTGGATGATGGGCTTGGGGTCCAATTCACGGGCGTCCTTGCCGCCTTTGGCTCCCCAGGGTTTGGCAGGGTCCTCAGTGGTAGTGGCAGGTAGAGTGCCATACACTGTCTCATCATCATCTTCCCTCTTCTGTCTCACAGCATCTCCCAGATCTGGAAAAATTTCAACACCATGATAGGAGGGTTACTATGTGTACCAATTTGGCAAATTGCATAAAGACAAGAATAGTGGGACACTGAGATGTGGACATAATTTGTACTTGGACATATATGTTGGAACATCTTCATGTTGGATTACCTTTTACCAAAGACTTCAATGGGAAATTATTCAATTGATTCTCCAATTCATTAAAAAATTCCCCAAAATTTTGTTTTAAAGATGCAGAATTTAAGAAACCCCTGCAAGTTATCTCTTGGCTTTAAAATGACCCCAAAAAGCAAAGAAAAACTACAACTCTTTCTTTAAACTGTGCCCAGATAATAGAGAATAATCAAGAAAGGAAACACAAAATTTATCTGTCCATTAATAACTTGAGTGAAATTATAATACAATTTTCTTTTTTTTGTGTGAATATAAACAGTTCAATTTTTTCAAGAAATATGACTGTTCAGAAGCAAATTCCCATAGATTCTGATTTTTGGCTTGAAAAATGACCCCAGAAAGCAAAGAAAAGCTACAAGTCTTGTTAAATACTGTCCATGGACAGATGATGAAGAATAATAAAAAAGAAGCCCAATTTGACCCTTTTGGCCTTTTCTGAATTTTAATTTGAGTAAAATTATAATAAGCTTAAAAAATGACCCCAATAATGGGCAAACAATTTATTTCTTGTTGAATACACTGCAGAGATAATGGAGAATACTCATGAAATAAGCACAGTTATTGATTATAAATTTGTTTAAAATTAAAAAAATTAATTTTTAAAATTTTTTTGAAAATAAATACATCAATGTTGTTCAAGATAAAATTTCAAAAAAATCATTTTCAGAAATGTTGGAAGTGTCCATACATAGAGATACTGTCTGCATATTGGGACAGGTGTTTCCATTAAAATTGCATTAGTGTCCCAAGTCCAATTGTCCACATGCCAGGGTCACACACTATACACAGTGTTCAAATAACTTACATGCTTGGAGGATAACAGCACAGAAGAGGACCTCCAATAGCAGTATGCGACTCATCCCCATATTGCTCAGTTGACTTTGAGTTGATATGCCACAGGAGCCCCTTTTTTCTCTCTCTTTTTTTGTTGCCACTTAATAATAAGACACTTTCACTTTAATACACATGCACAGGAGATTGAGAAAATGGCAGTGAGTATAGTTGGTGTGACAGGATGAGGAAGGGATGAGGTTGTGTGGATCAACCTGCGTCAGAGCTGTATTTATTAGTGGGAATATCAAGTCTTATTATTTTTTTTGTTTGCCAATAATCTTTCCTGTATAGTTCGCCGCAAGTACAGGTGACTTCCCATCAAGAAAAATATTGTGCCTATCCTGGCTTGTTCCCATGGAGAAAAATATTGTGCCTTATACAGGCACTTCCATAAGCTATTTTTGGTTTGACGTTGTCAACAAAACACCTTCTTATTCTGCGGGATTTTCTCTGTATACTGGGAACAACGCGATTCTCTCCATCAATGGATGATGACACACTTGCTGCTGCTCTCTGGCGAACTTGGAAGTTTTTCCTCCTTTTCCTCACTGATGCACAGTGGCAAAGAGAGGATCCTTTTCACTTTTCAACTGTAACCTGAAATGTATATACTCTTGGGGTGGCAAACTATGGGACAGGAGTTTGTGATCCACTGATGGTTCCCATCACTGTTGTGAATCCCAGATTATGAGGGGGTGGAAAAGATAAAAACATTTGTCTACAAATGCACCCACTTTTTTGATTAAAAAACACAGCATTTTTTCTTTCCTCTTAGATGCAGAATTTTTAGTGTTCTGGACAGGTGATGGGTGATGCTGAAATGTTTCCAAGAGGATTCCATGAATGGATGTTCATACAACTAATTGTTGAAAAAATCATTCATTGACCTGCTGTTCAATATATTACTGGATGGATTAGCTGAAAACCACACTATTATCACACTTTGGACAATTTTGGGTGTTGCTGTCACAAGATAACTGAAATGTTTCAAAGATGTTTCCATTAGTGGATGTTATACAACTAATTGTTTAAAAATCATTCATTGACCTGCTGTTCCAATATTTCACTGGATGGATTGGCTGAAATTCAATATTATCACACTTCTTATAGATGGACAATTTTGGGTGTTGCTGTCACAAGATAACTGAAATGTTGAATTGTTTCAAAGATGTTTCCATTAGTGGATGTTCATACAACTAATTGTTTAAAAATCATCCATTGACCTGCTGTTCAATATATATTACTGCATGGATTAGCTGAAAACCACACTATTATCACAATTCTTATAGATGGACAATTTTGGGTGTTGCTGCCACAATAAGATCACTGAAATGTTGAATTGTTTCAAAGATGTTTCCATTACTGGATGTTCATACAACTAATTGTTGAAAAAATCATTCATTGACCTGCTGTTCAATATATTACTGGATGGATTAGCTGAAAACCACACTTCTTATAAATGGACAATTTTGGGTGTTACTGTCAGAAGACAACTGCTGATATGTTGAAAATTTTCAAAGATGATTCCATTAGTGGAATTTCATGCAAATAATTGCTTAAAACTCATTCATTGACCTGCTGTTCAATATATTACTGGATGGACTAGCTGGAAACCACACTTATTAAGTGGACAATTTTGGGTGTTACTGTCAGAAGATAACTGAAATGTTGAATTGTTTCAAAGATGTTTCCATAACTGGATGTTCATACAACTAATTGTTGAAAAAATCATTCATTGACCTGCTGTTCAATATATTACTGGATGGACTAGCTGGAAACCACACTTATTAAGTGGACAATTTTGGGTGTTGCTGTCAGAAGATAACTGATGCTGAAATTTTTCACAGGATTCCAATGGTTCATGCAACCAAGTTTTATACAGTAATTCATTGACCTCCTGTTCACTGTACTGGATGATGAGTGCTAGGGCATTTTGAGAAAATGCTATGACCATCACCTTGAGAGAAGCAGTAAATCAATACTGCTTTTTTAAAGCTACATTTCAATTCTTGGAGACATTTAGTCCAAGTAACAAGTGCTTCAGCAATGATAATTATTGATGAGGCAATGATAATCTCATTATTTACTTGTTTACCATTAATGGCTTTCCTGTGAAGAATTTGTATTCTGTATTACAGTAATTATCTTGATTTAATAATATGGACTGAAAACTGATGCATTTTCCCCCACATCATATGCAGGGCATACTTTCAATTCAAACAATAAGACTCTTGACCTCAACCAACACTGGGCATCAAAAGAGCCAAATTCAAACAATACTGGATGCACAATGATGAACTTTCCACTGGGAGCAGGAACAATGACATGGGATGATGTGCCCTGATGTATGTATCCAGTACCAAGCTTAGCAGTGTGCAGGAAAACATCTGTCTGGACTAAAGTCAGCAATGGGAAATCATACAGGTTCATCACAAGAAACTTGACCAGCCAACTGGATGCTGAAAGGGCCTGCAATAATGTTGGAGGCATTCTGGCAAATATGTTCTCAAGAATTGCATACATGGCCACAGAAGGCATAAGAATGGCTGCCTATGAGAAATTATTCTATGTAGCTGGAAGTGATCAAGCTCAGGAAAACATCTGGGTCCTTCCTGATGGTAAGCATGTCCAGATTTGTGCTAAATACATGAATGTTACCAAATGAAAATTGAAACTCACAAAATTCCGCCAGAAATGATTCTGTGGGTAAGAAGCTGACTTTCCACCATTCAAATGTATATATTCATAAACAAAGAAGTATGGGAAAACAGCATATCCCCAAGTTCAACAGTTTCCCACAAATTGTTTCCACCAAAGTAAAGTTTCAGTAATTTCCTGAATTCAGGCATGCTCACTGGTCAGTTTATCACAGTTTGTCCTTCTCTGACATATTCCAAGCATACATCTCTAAAATTGATAATCAAGACATATATACAGTACACTTTACAAATACAACAGATAACCTTGCAGTATAGTAGTACAATTGAATATTAACTCATTCTAATCCTATGTAGTACTACACTCATTTCCACAATCATGAAGAACATTAATACATAAATTGCTCCCACAAATGTACTGCATTTACATTATCCTGATTCATCTGAAAATTAATGATCATTTTTCAATGAATGAACAGAAAACTTTATTTGCTGCCTTTCAGTGTTCACAAGGTACAACCAAAACTCCTGCATCCAAACCCCCTCCCCACCCAACCCAACTCCCCCAAAAAACATTCAATCACTTCAAAGCATGAAACTATAAAAGCACAAACCAATGAAAAAAACAAAAGAGAACACACTCCACAAAATAAAAATGTACCATTTTTTCAATTTAAAAATTGATGTGGATTAATTTGAAATACATATAGTTCTTTGTTTTATTCTATCAAAACAAGGATGTTCATTACTAAAGTCTGAAATGAATATCTACAGCTTACTTACAATGTTCAGTATTCTAAATTCTGGAATGCCTGTTGATCATACTGAATTTCAAAAAAAGCCCAATTTACTCACATTGAAATTATTGATTGTCAATGATTTTTTTATTAAAACTGCTTCAATCCCTCAAGGTACATCTTTTGATGCAAGTCTCAAAGCAAGTGACATCAATCAACCATGGGCCATCAGAGAGCCAAATGGAAATGCATCTGAAAACTGCGCTGGTATGACAATGAATGGGATAGTGGATGTCAGTTGCTCCCTTCGCATTGATGGCTACTGGGCATTCTGTGAAAAAGTATAATCCAATGGATCTCTATATACACTCAACAATTGGAATACCACACATGCAATAAGAACATCAAGCTCAATTAAAACTTCACAAATGAAATTTTGTCGTGCATGTACTGAATTGCACACTCATCTGCTGAGAAAACCAAATTTGAAGTGAAATCTTTTGAAAATGCATCTATCAGTTTTGGGGGATTATAACTAGACATAATTCAATATTTGTTTCTGCTGATGGGTATGCATAGGAATTGTCAGATTGAATACACTGTAGCACACAAGAAAAACACTATTGAACAGGGACTACTTTACAAGTAATACAAATAAATAAAACAAAATCAAAAAACATCATCAGTTTTTCTCAAGTTATACTCCTTGTCAGATACCATCAAGGGTTTCTAGAATAATAAAACACATCACTCAACAATAATAAACCATTTACCTAAGTTTGAAGAAGGTGATGACCAAGTAAAGCTTTTCACTGAAAAAAATTACAGGATGAAAAATACCAAAGCCTCACAACAGAATTACTGGATGGGATCATCACAGCAGAGTATCAAAATATTCAAACCTTTCATTCACTCAGAATTTGATCAAAAATTGAAAAAATCCTGCAGCTTATTTCATTTACAAAATGCATTCACATAACCCAGACAAACATATATCCAAGTTCGACATCAGGAAAACATTATTTTCTCATGTATAGAATAAGGATTAAGGGCAGGCATACTGCATAAAATACAATCAGTTTCAAACATATTCAGGTTTTCAAATGGATGCACTTGTCTTGTTATCAATCATTGAACACATGGATATTCAGAACAGTTATGCTAAAGAAAATTGATCAGCACTTCATAAAACCTTGTCTACTGTCCTTCTACGTCAAGATGGGCAATACTCCGAAATGGAAAACTGGAAGGAGCTCCCATGTAATTACTGCACACATGACAGCCTTACAATGAATAAATCAATAAAATGACCAGTAAAAAGTAACCTGCTGAAGCTCCCACCATTTGAATTGGAAATGACCCAGCAACAGCAATGGACCACAGCCTGGACCATTGAACAGAAAACAAAGCATGATTTATTGTCTACTTCGTATAAGGTTCCTTCAGCAGGTGAAGTTGACACAATCTTGATTAAGTATATATCAATAATCCCCACTTCCACTCAGGTACCTCTCCAGATTCAACCCTTTTATATACTGTAATGACTTGGGAACAGCTCAAGACTGCACATATACACAGCAGCATGAATAAGTCTACGAATATCCTTGTTTACTATTCACTTGCAGTTTTAGCAGTGTCAAATGCTTTGGAATTCAGATCTTACATAAATGCTACACTTAATAACCCAAGTTTTACTTCAACAACATTTGGACAAGTGCAATGTGCTCAGAAATGTGAGTTGACAGAAGAATGCTTGGGCTTCAGCATAACACATCAGCCAATGGGACTCATCCAATGCAGAATCAGTGAGACAAACATCTCTTGGACTAGAGATTCAAACTCAACTTTATTCATCCGTGAGTTATGCTTCACAGAACAATAATTTTCAAGCAAAACATAAATTGATAGTACTGAATGATGTTATATTTCACAGCACTTGACATGAACATCTCAGGATACACCCTGTTGTCAGATGGGAAACTGTACAAGTCATACATGAATGTTGGAACCATTGCTGACACTAGAAACAAATGTACTAATGATGGAGCCACCTTGTCATCACCATATCCAAATAATGTATGGACCACACTGGCCAGTTTCATGCCAAATACAGTCCAAATGCCAATTGGGATTTATGCCACCAATAGACCCATGGGTGAATGGACCACCATTGATGGTAACTTTGCCTTGAAATTCATACCAGTATTCCATATAAATCCACCATAGACAGGATTTAAAAAAAAAAAGAGGAATGAGCAAAATCTGTCCACAAAACTTTCTTTTGCAGTAAAAGAAAATACAGTAGGTTTGAGTAACAACTTTTTGACATATGGAATATTCAACTCAACATTTTTTCAACAGGGCATACATTCAACTCCAACTTTCAGATACTTGACCCCAACCAACACTGGGGATCAAATTTACCAAATGATAGTACTAGTACATGTGTCATCATGAACTATGCTCTGGGTGGGATGACATGGGATGATGTGTCATGTGCACTGGCCAATAACAGAACCACCTCAGCAGTCTGCAGGAAAACTTCTGCTTGGATAAAAGCCACTACTGGAAAGTCTTACAGGTTCATCACAAGAAACTTCACCAGTCAAATGAGTGCTGAATGGGCATGCAATAAAGTTGGAGGCACTCTGGCAAATATGTTCTCAAAAGCTGTGTACACAGCCACAGAGGGCATTAGAATGAGAGCCTACGGAAAGACCGTTTACATTGCTGGCAGTGATCAAATTCAGGAAGACAAATGGCTCCTACCTGATGGTAAGTATGAAATCCATTTTTTTTACAGTGTACCACAATATCATCACAACTAAATTTTTCTAAGCAGATATCTAAGAGACCTGCTTTTGCATTCTTTTGAAAGATCTGCAGAATGCAAATTTCTGGTTTTGAGTTCTCCTTCCAAATACTGAAAATTGGATAGCATCTGGTTCATTCATAATGCACCCAAAAATGGTTGCAAAAAATCATGAACACATACTTGCGCAAAATGTAACATTTAATTGGTTTTCAAGCAGCTCTATCATGGAAAATGAAGTTGATGGAAATTTGATTGTAAGTTGCTCAAGAATTCTCAAACAGACTTGCTTGCTCACAATACTGTGAACAATATTTCACTGTGCTACTTGCCCTGATTTTGCAGGTGTTTCACATCACACTTGAAATTATTTAAAAATGTTAATGGCTTTTGCATACATTTAGGACTTTCAAGAATTTTTTAATCTTAAGAAAATCCTGCCAAGGAATGCAAATTTTCTTGGCAAAAGAGGAAAACTCCAAGGAGTTACACATTTTAAAATGCATTCATCCTCAGTCAATTCAAATGCCAGTAATGTGCAAGCAAGTGATTTCAGCAGTAAATGCTTGCAAAAATGCATGCCAGGTGCACCAAGAACCAAACATAATGTAGGTCAATCAAAAAACATTGGCAACTGAATCAAATCATTTGCAATAACATACATCAAACTTGGAATGACTAAAGGGGTCTTTTGAAACAGTATCTAGAACTGCAGAACACTGAACATAAAAGGGTAAGGGAACAATTGCTCTACCCATAAATGTATTGCACAGTACTTTTCCACCACACATTCAACTCCCAAAAATGTGGCTAATTTGAAATTTGATTACATACATAGTTTGTCACCTTTCTGATTCCACTTTCTTGTTCAGGGATTTTGCAATACTGTAATTTTTTCATGATTTTTCCAAAGGTACAATAGTTGATGCAACCTTAAAAGCCACTGACATCAACCAACCATGGAAATCTGGAGAACCTAAAGGGAAAACAGAAGAAAATTGTGCTGGTCTGACTTATGTTGGAATTGTTGATACTGGCTGTTCTATTTTCCACAGTGGCTACTGGGCATTTTGTGAAAAATCTTGAGCACTGCTCGAAACTACAATCATTGCACTTGATACAGGCACAAGATTTAGAAAATGGCCATTCCTTTCTAGGAAACAATGTTTTCTTATACTTTTGTTTGAATGAATGGTATTATCACATACAGTAAAAGTGGTGCTATAAGACAAATCAAGACAGGCAATTTGAAAAATGGCCAATTTGAGACAAAAACTTTTGGAGACAGGGACAATTTTAGACTGACACTTTTTGATACATGATGGACAAATTGAGACAAATATACATTTTGAAAAGTTGAGATATTTTGAGAATTCAAGAGCGATACTTTTTGAGACAAAATGACTTGACTGTGTTTCTCCATATTATCTCATGTTTAAGGTATAAAATAAACCAAAATTGCCCTATTTGGTGAAAATTCAATGATCCCAGGGTGTTCCTCTGTTTTGTCCATCATCACTGTCAAGTGAGTTTTCCTCATCATCAAGAGAAAACTCAAATCTTTGAACCACCCTAAGCAGATTCCTCTCCTCATCAAGATAATTTTTGTCTCCATTTATCCAGTCTCAAATTGTCTGTCTTTATTAGTCTGTGTCCGAGTAAAAGCTCATTGTACTGTGTCAGCAAAATACAGTCAGAACCAACATTGGTCAGACCCATCCCACATTTTCAAGCAAAATTGGTATCCAAAGTTTATGTGGGTGTTAGAAAACATGTTCATATATGTAGTACAGTGCATTTCTGTTTACCAAAAGACCTTCACAGAAGTACTGTACATTGAAAAAAATTTAACAAAGCTAAATTTTTCCCTGGGGGGAAAGTAACTCACACAACAGAAATGCTTTTCATGTAATTTTCTTGGGAACACATGCATGAATTTCAGTTCACTCAAATGTCAAGATCTCATTTTCATGTCCAAAGGGGATTGCAAATGAGAAAAAGACAGGAGAAATTATTTTATTTTCCAATGAAACAAATTTGAATTTAAAAAAAAAAGGAAAATCCATATATGTGCCCCTGCTGGAATTCACAGGTTTTTTTTTTCAAGTTCATCAAGATATCTGTGAATACCCATGAAGGATTGAATATTTTTCCATTTAGAATAGAACAAAATACTGCAATGTTTTGCGCAACATATTATTTATCTCAAATGGTTTTGCTCATTTTATGTGTACTGTACTTCTGTGGGCTAATTTTCACTGGTGCTATATTCACCATCACTTGGGAGAATAAAAAAAATGCTCACAATTTTTTCTTATTTTCATGATCACATATTGAATTGTGCAAGTATTGGTGAACTGTGTCACATGATCACAGACCCATTGAGAAGAGTTGAGACCCCAAGCGCTTAAAAATAATTTAAAATTTAACGTTCAGTACTTCCTGAAATTCCTAGAGGTGAAAAGCGGAGAAACTTCACTCACCAAAGAATTGCGGTTCACTTCCTCGGATCCCTTCTCTGGTAGCTATTTTGAACCACAACCGTGTCAAACACACCTTGATTCCCTTCCCTGGGAGTTAGTTTTGAATCACAACCAGGCCAAGCACGCTACACTACGTCAGACAATCAAGCAAAAGCAATATAAGTGACAGCAAAACCCAAGGATAAAGGCCAAGCACTTACACAATACAGGAAATACCTTTCTGTTTTACCCCTTGGTGCATTGGTTAACAAACAAACAAAAAAAAGTCCGCTACAAATTTTACTTTAATGAGTGAATACGTGGAATTGAAACAAAAAGAAATCAGAATCATGCGAAAAAAGCACCGGAGAGTGAGATCATGGACTTCGGCACCAAGAGGTATAACGTAAAAGTTTTGGCAAACTCAAAATTAATACATGAACACATTCCTTTCCAAATGGAACGAATTTTCTTTCCTAAAGCTGTTTGTTGATGTGTTTCAAACGGTACAATGGGTCCTTCAGCACATCTTCTTGGTGCTTCTTCGTCTTCATCCGTCTCACAATATCTGGTTCGGAAATTGGAATCACATCAAACAAAGTAAAACGCAATCACTGGATATATTCACACAAAACAGAGCCCAACTAGATATCGAAGTAACTCTTGGAATTTCCAAAATGCAGATACTGCGAAGACCGTAGAAAAAAAAATCCACTACGACACGACCGCGATGACTGATTCAAATCATCATAGATCGAAAAACCTCACGAGCAAGGGATTAATCAATAACGTGTTACGAAAATATCCAGAACAACGTGGAAAGAATTGCATTATACAATAATTTCAAACGAGTAATTGATTGTCCTTATTTCACTATACCATTCGCTTCCACGACGATGTTCGTCACAAATATTGCAGAAAAGTTCGCTGAAGATAAGAAACGAGAATTCGACTCCATAAATCAGTAGCTCTTCACGAAGTCCCCATTTCACGACGTTCGGACCTCCGCAAACGTCGGATTAGAGAAGTATTAGTTCCCTCGCGCAGAATCATGTACATACACGAATACAAGAAAATCCGGGAGTCTTCAACCAAATGCAGGAACCGGTTTTCAGGAACTGCGGTTCGCACGAATAACAATCCTACCGTTGGTATCACATATAGATTAGAGGTAAATAACTACTTACGCCTACTGGAATACTGTGTCAAGCTCTTTCAACTGGCTCTTAGTCTCGCACTCCAACTCTTCGGCCTCCCGCTTCCGATCCGCTTGAAATTTGCGCATCATCCGAAACACCGCGTCCCTGTTCATGTCACGCCAATATACGCGCTTTCATCTCGCAAAGGATGAGACAAATCTGGCTGACGTTCCAGGACCAACAATTAGTTTTTCACAAATTATTTCAACCAATGTAAAGTTTCAGTAAGTTCCTGAATTCAAACATGCTAACTGGTCAGTTTGTTACAGTTTGTCGTCCTCAGACATATTCCAAGCATACTTACTCTAAAATTAATAATCAATAAGACATATAAACACTCTACAAATACCATAGATAACCTGAGTATAGTAGTACAGTTGAATATTAACTTATTCCAAATATATACAGTATATAGTACGAAACTTATTTCAAAAATCATGCAAAACATTAATACATGAATTGCTCCCACAAACGTGTTTACATTATCATGATTCCTATGAAAATGAATGATTATTTTTCAGTTTAAAAATTGATGTGGGCTGATTTGAAATATATAGTTCTTCATTATTCAATAAAAACATGGATGTTCACTTATACTCAAGTCTGGGATGAATATCTACATGCTCACTTAGAATGCTCAGTATTCTTAATTCTAGAATACCTGTTCCATTATACTGAGTTTTAAAAGAAGCTTAATTTACTCACCTTAAAAATTATTGGCTGTCATGAATTTTCATTACCAATGTTTCAATCCCTCAAGGTACACCTTTTGATGCAAGTCTCATATCACAGCAATAAGTGACATCAATCAACCATGGGCCATCAGAGAGCCAAATGGAAATGCATCTGAAAACTGCGCTTGTATGCAGAGGCGGCCCTAGGGTTTGCGGGGCCTGGGGCAGACATGTCAAATGCGGGGCCCCTGCCAATTCTCAAACAGCATTTGAACAATGAAAAATTAAATTTAAATTAAAGTAAAGCTGCAAATGTAACTACATTTCTTGGAAGCTATAAAAAGGTCTTTTGCAAGTTTTTAAAATAAACTTTTAGAAATTTTTTCAATTATTTGTACAGTATTAGCATCTTTTACTTTTTAAAGGTAGAATTGTTTGTTTTGGCTGCATGGTTGTACATTCAAATTTTAAAAATTCACAACAACCAACCAAAATGGCCATTGCAAATAAAATTATTGTAATAACAAAGATAATTACTGCAGAAAATAAGTGCTGCTAATCAAAACTCAATGGTTATCATCTTCCTGAGACCAAATTAAGCTGCTCAGCATTCATTTATGTTAACATTCTGCAGATTAAATACAATTTTTTGCATGTGTAATTCTGACAAATGTATCTGTATCAGTATCAAAACTCAATGGTTATCATCTTCCTGAGACCAAATTAAGCTGCTCAGCATTCATTTATGTTAACATTCTGCAGATTATATACAATTTTTTGCATGCGTAATTCTGACAAATGTATCTGTATCAGGTATAATGCTGAATATCTTCAGGTTGAATTTGAAAGGACTTTAAAAAATATCTCACTGCAGTTTTCAAGTTTTAGGATTATGGCCCAATTCGTTTACAGGTTGATCAAGAAATTCATTTTCTTACCTTCTTATCATTGTTAATTATTCACAGATTACCAAAATGTAGAAATGTAGCTTATCTGTTTATAAAAACATCAGTTATTATTTTTCTAAATTTTTTGAACAGCTACTCTAAGCCATTCTATAACAGAAAGGTATTACTGCATGCTAATTTTACCAGCAAGTGACTTGCTTTAAAGCCAAAAACGTTCCATTCAGGGGGATTTAAAAGGAATTGTTCTTGAGGGGTTTGCCAGCTATACACTGAAAATGCAATTACAAGAGATATAATTAATATCAGTAAAGTTTTCAGCAAGGTCCAGCAACAATAATTTTTATCTGTAATAGAGATAGCAGTATACAGTATGTATTCCAAACTCATGACAAATGAATTGAATTTCATTGTAATCTTGATGCATCATACATTTAGAAATTTTGATTGCAAATTGGACCATCATTGCATAAACTACATGGGAAAGTTTAACATTGCGGATTGCCATTATTTTATGGTGTTTCAAAATTCAAGATGCATTGTTTCTATTCAAAATTATTCTTGATAAGGACTCAACAAGACCTTATAAAATGTAAAACTGCATTTATTTGCAATTTTTTGTCAGATTAAAATTAAGGAAACCCCACTCTTTCCTGATTTTTTTTTCTCCAACAGACATTTCACTGAAGATTGAAAAATGTGAAGCTCTGGTGCCAATATTATTCTGAATGCATTGTTGGATCTGTTGTGCTCTACTTATAGATCAGATTACTTGTCAGCAAACTTTGTAAAGAGGTAAGAAATAAACTTGTCCTTTTGTAAAGGGGCCCCACTCCTAGTTTCAAGGCAAGTGAAAAATTTTTTTAGGGGACAGCTAATTTTCAGATCCACAGGACCGTGGGGCCCTCCTCAAGTGCGGGGCCCCCTCAAGCGCGGGGCCTGGGGCGGCCGCCCCTCTCGCCCCACCCTAAGGCCGCCACTGCTTGTATGACAATATATGGAATAGTGGATATCAGTTATTCCCTTTGCGCCAATGGCTACTGGGCATTCTGTGTAAAAGTATAATCCTATGGATCTCTATACCCTCAACAATTGGAATACCACACACGCAATAAGAGCATCAGCTCAATTAAAACTTCAGGAATGAAATTTTGTCTTGCATGTATACTGAATTGCACACTCATCTGCTGAGAAAACCAAATTTGAAGTGGAATCTTTTGTAAATGCACCACATCAGCTTGGGGGGGGGGAAGGGGTTAAAACTAGATATAAATCACTATTTGATTCTGCTAATGGGTATATGCATAGGAATTGCCAGATTAAATACACTGCACACAAGAAACACTATAGAAAAGGGAATACATGCAACACAAATACAGTAAATGAAACACAATCAAGAAACATCAGTTTTTCTCAAGTTATACACCCCTTGTGTTATACCATCAAGGGTTTCCAGAATGATAAAACACATCACTCAACAATAAAGCATTTACCCAAGTTTGAAGAAGCTCATAAGCAAGTGAAGCTTTTCACTGCAAAAAAGACTGGATGAAAATTAAGAAGGCCTCACAACAAAAGAACTGAATAGGATCTTTATGGCAGAGCATCAAAATATTCAAGCCTTTCTTTCCCCCAGAATTTGATCAAAACTTCAAAAAATCTTGCAGCTGATTTCATCCACAAAATGCATTCACATAAACCAGAAAAACATATATCTAAGTTCAACATCAAGCAGAAAACATGATTTTCTCTGGTATACAATAAGGAGTAATAAGAAGCAGGAAATGCTGCATAAAATACAATCAGTTTCAAACATATTCGGGTTTTCATGGATGCACTTTTATTGCTATGAATCATCGTACACATGAATGTTCAACAGAGTTATATGATGAGGAAGATTGATCTGCTCTTTATATAAAACCTTGTCAACTGCTCTTCTACATCAAGATGGGCAAGAGAGTGAAATGGAACATTGGAAGGAACTCCCATGTAATTACTGCATACATTACAGCATTACACTGAATAAATCAATAAAATGACCAAAAGTAACCTGCTGAAGCTCCCACCATTTAAATTGGAAATGACCCAGCAACAGCAATGGGCCAGAGCCTGGACCATATTTAACAGAATACAATGCATGATTTATTGTGTACTTTTTACAAGGTTCCTTCAGCAGGTGAAGTTGACACGATCTTGATTAAGTACAATTCCTCATTCCCACTTCTACTTATAGGCATACCTCTCCAGACTCAACCCTTTTCTATACTGTAATGCCTTGGGAACAGCTCAAGACTGCAATGTACACAGCAGCATGAATAAGTCTACGAATATCCTTGTCTACTATTCACTTGCAGTTCTAGCAGTGTCAAATGCTTTGGAATTCAGATCTTACATAAATGCTACACTTAATAATCCAAATTTTACTCTAACAACATTTGGACAAGTGCAATGTGCTCAGAAATGTGAGTTGACAGAAGGATGCTTGGGATTCAGCATAACACATCAGCCAATGGGACTCATCCAATGCAGAATCAGTGTGACAAACATCTCTTGGACTAGAGATTCAAACTCAACTTTGTTCATCCGTGAGTTATGCTTCACAGCTAGCAGAACAATAATTTTCAAGCAAAACATAAATTGATAGTGCTGAATGATATTATATTTCACAGCACTTGACATGAACATCTCAGGATACACCCTGTTGTCAGATGGGAAACTGTACAAGTCATACTTGAATGTTGGAACCATTGCTGACACTAGAAACAAATGTACTAATGATGGAGCCACCTTGTCATCACCACATCCAAATAATGTATGGACCACACTAGCCAGCTTCATGCCAAATACAGTCCAAATGCCAATTGGGATTTATGCCACCAATAGACCCATGGGTGAATGGACCACCATTGATGGTAACTTTGCCTTAAAATCCATATCAGTATTCCATATTAATCCACCTTACACAGGATAAAAAAAAAAAAGAATGAGCAAAATCTGTCTACAAAACTTTCATTTCAAGTAAAAGAAAATGCAGTAGGTTTGGGTAACCACTTTTTGACACACGGAATATTCAACTGAGCATTTTTTTTCAACAGGGCAAACATTCAACTCCAACTTTCAGGTACTTGACCCCAACCAACACTGGGGATCAAATCTACCAAATGATAGTACTAGTACATGTGTCATCATGAACTATGCTCTGGGTGGGATGACATGGGATGATGTGTCATGTGCACTGGCCAATAATAGAACCACCTCAGCAGTCTGCAGGAAAACTTCTGCTTGGATAAAAGCCCCTACTGGAAAGTCTTACAGGTTCATCACAAGAAACTTCATCAGGCAAATGGATGCTGAATGGGCATGCAATAAAGTTGGAGGCACTCTGGCAAATATGTTCTCAAAAGCAGTGTACACAGCCACAGAGGGCATTAGAATGGGAGCCTATGGAAAGACATTTTACATTGCTGGCAGTGATCAAGTTCAGGAAAACAAATGGCTCCTACCTGATGGTAAGCATGAAATCCATTTCTTACAATGTACCACAACATCAACATAACTAACTTTTTCTAAGCAGATATCTAAGAGGCCTGCTTTTGCATTCTTCTCTGGAAGATCTGCAGGATTCAAATTTCAGGTTTTGAATTCTCCTTCCAAATACTAAAATCATGATCACATACTTGTGCAAAATGTAACATTTGGTTGGTTTCCAAGCAGCTCTACCATGGAAAATAAAATTTATGGAAATTGGATTGCAAGTTGCCCAAGGATTGTCAAAAATATGCTTTTTTGGTGTTTCACATCAAACTTGCAATTATTTAAAAATGTTAGCGTCTTTAGCATACATTTAGGACTTTTAATGAATTTTTAGAATTCAAAGAAAAACCACCCAACAAATGAACATTTTATTGGCTACAGAGGAAAAATCAAGGGAGTTAAGATACATTCAAAAATTAATTTCTCAGTCAATTCAAATGGTAGTCATGCTGTGCAATCAAGCAAAGGATTTCAGCAGTAAATGCTTGCAAAAATACATTCCATTTGCACCAAGAACATAACATAATGTAGGTCAATCAAGAAACATTGGCAAACAGGTGCAACTGAACCAAATCAGTTGCAATAACAAACTTCAAACTTGGAATGATGACTAAATGGGTATTTTGAAACACTGTCCAACACTGCACAACAGTAAACATACATGGCTAAGGGCACAATTGTTCTACCCACACATTTATTGCCCAGAACTTTTACATTCAACTCCCAATGTGGCTAATTTGAAATTTGATTTAATATATATACAGTAGTTTGTCACCTTTCTGATTCCACTTTCTAGTTAGGGAATTTAATAATATTTTTTATTCATGATTTTTCTACAGGTACAACAGTTGATTCAACCTTAAAAGCAATTGACATCAACCAACAATGGAGATCTGGAGATCCTAATGGGAAAACAGAGGAAAATTGTGCTGGTATGACTTTTGCTGGAATTGTTGACGTTGGCTGTTCTCTTCTCCTCAATGGCTACTGGGCATTTTGTGAAAAACCTTGAGCACTGCTGGTAACCACAATCATTTTACTGGCCACAGGCACAAGACTTAGGACAATAGACAGGCATTCATTGTCAGGAAACAAAATGGTTTCCTATCCTTTAAAAAAATGGAGTAAAAGCAGATCTAGGAAAAATCAAGACAGACAATTTTTGAGGCCAGGCCAAATTGAGAAAGATACTTTTGGAGACAGAGTCAATTTGTGACAGAAACTTTTTGAGACAAGTAGGAAAATTTGAGACAGAAACTTTTGGCAAAAGGGACAATTTGAGACTGAAACATTTTGAGACATGATGGACAAATTAAGACAAATATAAACTTTGAGAATTTGAGACAAAATGACTTGACTGTGTTTCTCCATATTATCTCTCGTTTAAGGTGTGAAAATGAACCAACAGGTGTGATCCTGTCTCAAATTGCCTGTCTTGATTTGTCTGTATCCCAGTAAAAGCTCTTTGCATCAGCAAAATACAGTCAGAACCAACATTGGTCAGACCCATCCCACATTTCCAAGAAAAAAGGTATTCAAAGTTTATTTGGGTGCTATAGAAAACATTTACATACATGCAGTACAGTGCATTTATATTTACCAAAAGACCATCACAGTACAGTACAGTACATTGAAAAAATTAACAAAGCTAAATTTCTTTATGAGGGAAAAGTAACTCACACAACAGAAATGCTTTTCATGTAATTTTCTTGGGAACACTTGAATATTTCAGTTCACTTTAATGTCAAGAATTCATTTTCATTTCGGAAGGGGGATTGCAAATGAGAAAAAAGCAGGAGAAATAATTCCATTTTCTAATGAAACAAATTTGAATTAAAAAAAAAATGCACATCCATTTATGTGCTCATGACTGCGCACTGACTTGTTGCTGGAATCCACCGGTTTTTTTTTTTTCGAATTCATCAAGATATTTGTGAATATACCCATGAAGGATTGAATATTTTTCAATTTAGAATAGAACAAAATACTGCAATGTTTTGCGCGACACATTATTTATCTCAAATGGTTTTTCTCATTTTGAGTGTACTGTACTTCTATGGGTTAATTTTGACTGGTGCTATATTCACCATCACTTGGGAGAATTAAAAAAATCCTCACAGTTTTTTCTCATTTTCATGTTCACATATTGAGTTAGGCAGGTATTGTATTAGTGAATTGTGTCACATGATCACAGACCCATTGAGAAGAGTTGAGACCCCAAACACTTCATAAATTAAAATTCAACATTCAGTACTTTGTTAAATTCCTAGGAGTGAAAAGCTGGAAAACTTCACTCACCAAAGATTTGCAGTTCACTTCCTCGGATCCCTTCTCTGATAGCTATTTTGAACCACAACCGTGTCAAGCCCATCTTGAATCCCTTTCCTTGGAGTTAGTTTTGAATCACAACCATGCCAAGCGCACTATACTACGTCAATCAAGCAAAAGCAATATAAGTGACAGCAAAACCAAAGGATGAAGGCCAAGCACTACACAACACATGATACCTTTCAGTTTTACCTCTTGCTGCATTGGTTAACAAAATAAAAAAAATGTCCGCTACAAATCTCAAGTTAATGAGTGAACACGTGGAATTGAAACAAAAAGAAATCAAAATTATGCGAAAAAAGCACCGGAGAGTGAGATCATGGACTTCGGCACCAAGAGGTATAACGTAAAAGTTTTGGCAAACTCAAAATTAATACATGAACACATTCCTTTCCAAATGGAACGAATTTTCTTTCCCGAAATCCGACAATTCATCCACGCTCCCAACAGCACAAAAAATTCTCGAGGCACTTGGCGAAAAAACATCACTGAATATCCGCAGAAATGAACGAAAAAAAAAATTTTCCTCGACTCGACTCCAAAATGCCAAAAGAAGGCGCAAAAAAGAGCGCTCTTTGTTTTTCTTTCGAGGTAGAAACCCACACGGCGTAACTTCTTCACGAATAAAAAAAAAAGGAATGCCGTGGGAAATCACTTCAGGGTTCGGACTTCCGGAAAACGCGTCGCGATCTCGGATTCCATCCGTTCAGCGAGTTTAGAGATACGATCCGAACGACACATTCCGAAAAGCTGTTTGTTGATGTGTTTCAAACGGTACAATGGGTCCTTCAGCACATCTTCTTGGTTCTTCTTCGTCTTCATCCGTCTCACAATATCTGGTTCGGAAATTGGAATCACATCAAACATAGTAAAACACAATGACTGGAAATTTTCACACAAAACAGAGCCCAACGAGATATCGAAGTAACTCTTAGAATTTCCATAATGCAGATACTGCGAAGACCGTGGAAAAAAAAAAATCCACTACGACACGACCGTGATGACAGATTCACATCATCATGCAAGTAGATCGTAAAACCTCCTCACGAGCAAGGGATTAACCAATAACATTGTGGAACGAATTGCATTATAAAAATTTCAAACGAGTAATTGATGTTTATTTCACTTCCATCCGCTTCCACGACGACGTTCGTCAAAAATATTGCAGAAAAGTTCGCTGAAGATAAGAAACGAGAATTCGACTCCATAAATCAGTAGCTCTACAGAAAGTCCCCATTTCACGACGGTTAGACCTACGAAAAAAAAAATTTTCCTCGACTCGACTCCAAAATGCCAAAAGAAGGCGCAAAAAAGAGCGCTCTTTGTTTTTCTTTCGAGGTAGAAACCCACACGGCGTAACTTCTTCACGAATAAAAAAAAAAAGGAATGCCGTGGGAAATCACTTCAGGGTTCGGACTTCCGGAAAACGCGTCGCGATCTCGGATTCCATCCGTTCAGCGAGTTTCGAGATGCGATCCGAACGACACATTCCGAAAAGCTGTTTGTTGATGTGTTTCAAACGGTACAATGGGTCCTTCAGCACATCTTCTTGGTGCTTCTTCGTCTTCATCCGTCTCACAATATCTGGTTCGGAAATTGGAATCACATCAAACATAGTAAAGCACAATGACTGGAAATTCTCACACAAAACAGAGCCCAACGAGATATCGAAGTAACTCTTAGAATTTCCAAAATGCAGATACTGCGAAGACCGTGGAAAAAAAAAACATCCACTACGACACGACCGCGATGACAGATTCACATCATCATGCAAGTAGATCGTAAAACCTCCTCACGAGCAAGGGATTAACCAATAACATTGTGGAACGAATTGCATTATAAAAATTTCAAACGAGTAATTGATCTTTATTTCACCTCCATCCGCTTCCACGACGACGTTCGTCAAAAATATTGCAGAAAAGTTCGCTGAAGATAAGAAACGAGAATTCGACTCCATAAATCAGTAGCTCTACAGAAAGTCCCCATTTCACGACGGTTAGACCTCCGCAAACGTCGTATTAGAAGAATGTTAGTTCCCTCGCGCAGAATCATGCACACGAACTACAAGAAAATCGCGGGAGTCTTCAACCCGATGCAGGAACCGGTTTTCAGGAACTGGTTCATACGAAGAATCTTACCGTTGATATCACATAGATTAGAGGTAAATAAATACTTACGCCTACTGGAAGCCGTGTCAAGCTCTTTCAACTGCCTCATTGTCTTGCACTCCAACTCTTCGGCCTCCCGCTTCCGATCCGCTTGAAATTTGCGCATCATCCGGAACACAGCGTCGCTGTTCCTCATGTCTCGCCAATATGCGCTTTCATCTCGCAAAGGAGACAAATCTCGCTGACGTTCAAGAACCAACAATTCTGCTTCTTCCACAGTGAGGAGACGTTCTTCCGGTAACGGCAAAGATTCGGGTTCATCGCGACATGCAAGCACTGGCTCGGCCGACGGCTTGTGTTTTTTTGGATTCGAAGAAGACGCGCTGCTGCACGAGCTCTCTTTGCGCTTCCGCGGCATTCGGGGGTATTTACACAAAGATTCACAGCCCTGACGATCATTCAAATGAAGAAGCACATCATCTTTCCGTACCCTTCGACGCTCGTTCCCACGTTGCACTCGCCCGCGGATTCGCGTTGTTCGACCAGAACACTTACACGCCTATGCGCAATGTTGGTGGGATAACTGAACGGATTCCCAAAAACTCAACCAATATGAGCTCATTCCCTTCGTTTCACCCAATTAATTCACACAGTACATTTTGATCTCTCTTGTAGAAGACAAATCAGTCAAATTGAAAGCCATGAACACGTAAAGAACATCTTTCCATTTGCACCAGCGTTTTCAGGATTGCAGAAACCCTTTCTTGGGGTCAAAAATGAATCTCTTGAAAGCCATTGTCACGGTAATCTTTTCACCACCACCATCTGGTTTCTCAACTTTTTTCTTCTTAGATGCACCCCCCACACTCAGGAATGTCTCCGGTTTAAGACCACCTGAAAAGACAAAAATGTTTTGATAACCTGAAAAAAATTTATCTCTTGAGATATTTGACGAAATGAACCAACCTGTAACACGGATTTTTACTTTCCCACTTTGCCCAAAGCCTCCTTCCACAGTTCCATTTTCTCCAGTAGACAGACTGACTTGAAGCCCAGCAAACAAATTAAGATCCGTTTCTTTCTTGAAAAGATTCTTCACAATCACTTCATATTCGTTCGGTGCTCTTTCAACTACCCCTTCCTTCTTCTTGTCTTTGAATACTTTCAGTTTCGGCAAAGATTTCTCAGCATACCTGCAAAAATTGATACTCTTGATACTCCAAACGTTGTAGTTTCTGATAATGTATTAAACATTTGATACATATGCGCATCAAGTCATGTCCAGACTGTTTTCAATACTGCACTTTCCATCATCGATTAAACTCCTCAATTCATTTTTTCTTTCCATAACTTATTCCCCAAGTCCTGAGACTTTTTCAATCAGTAGGAAATCTATCATGTAAATTCAGATATGATAGCATAAGAAAGCGCTAATCTTCTTCAGTCTACTTTTTATAATGATGGAAAAACCGGGACGGGAATTTTTTCAATGAAAAATGTACAGAAAATCATCTTTCTGTTGAAATCTCACTCACTTCGGATCAGAGAAGTGGTCCAAAAGTTTGCCATGAAACGCCAGACGACACAGATTTGCATGAATATCAGTGTCCAACTTGGATCCCAACACAAGGCATTCCGGTATAACAGTGACAGCTCTGTCAAACTCAAGCAAAGCAAACTGTGCTTCAGGAAAGGGATCCAAAACCGAGGATCCTTCGTCCAATGTTTCTCCCACTCGCTGCTCTTCGCGATCCCGTCTTCGCAACTCTTTCTGGAATCTATATTCGTTCGAGTAGTCAAAATTTCCACTGGAATCACTGCCAAAAAACGTCAGCTTTGCCATGACGGTTTCGTGGCCCATGCTGATGTGGAACTTGGCCTTCGTTGCCACCTGGCCCTTGAAAAACCTGAAAATAAATAATTCAGTGACCTTTACAGGATCGAGAAGCATACATTTTTCTTTATTGAAATCAATTACCTGATGGATTCCACACTGATGATACTGGCATAAATCGTGACTGCAGTGTCAGGGGAACAAACGATGCCTCTTTCCAGCAACTTGGGGTCAAACTGGGTCACACAAATGCCCACACGGTCTCCTTGGACAGCCACATCCACTGGTTTGTGAAACATCTGCATTGACTTCACCTTCTTGGTCACCTTCATTGCTGGGATATCCACATTCTGAAAATCCAGGAAAAGTAAGAAAGAAATATACATTCAAATTACCAGTAAATTATTAAAAATGAGGAGAATAAATGAGGTCCAATAAGGGGGGAAAATTGGGCGCCTTCATGCAGACAGGCCCACTCACCCATTTGTTTTCACATCACAGTGTAAAAGGTTTTCTTAATGTATTTTGCCTTTGAAAAAAATGCTTGACTTCCAAAATTTTTGATAGTACATTCAGCTCAGGTACTAGTTATTTCAGTAATTATGACAACTAAAATGCATTACTTTCTGAAGTTGCTTCAATTAGAGCAGACAATATTTGAAAAATATGTCAAGTTTAGCGGCAATATTGTTAAATACAGAAAGATCTTGTCATAATTGATTGTTTAAATAAATTACAGGCCAGAATCCATGAAAAGGTTTCTTATAATGAAATTTTCTTGAACTGAAAACATCAGATTTCTCAGGAGGTAGGGAAATTTGAGAAAGGAACAATTTGAGGCAAACATTTCAAGAATACTGTTACAGTATTTCTTTTCGAATTTGAGACTGACATACAGAATTTAGAAATTGAAATAATTCAAATAATTATAATTTCTATTTTCTAAGCAGGTTGGGGAGGTTCTTGGGCAAAATAATTTTAAAGCATTTTTTGTCAGCAAATTATTCTGCAAAACGCAAAATTAATCTTATGATTAACGGATATTCATTTAATTTTGTAGACAACCAAACGTTTCGCCATTCAACATGAATGAATATTTCTCAAGCAAAATAATACAATTCATGTTTTGCTCTCTAAAATGATATGCTGAAAAATCAGGATGTCCATGTCTCCAACCTTATCTGAAAATTTCCTTGTCAATAATTTTCTGTCTCAAATTATCCGGATCCCACTTTCTCTCAATAGAAAAAAAAGAAAACCTCGGCCGAAACTCCTTTCTTTTACAATTTTCGAAACTTGATTTCTAAACGTGTGTGTACCCACATCATTGACTTTGATTTGGCCAGAGACCACAGTGCCAGTCATGACCGTGCCCTGTCCCCGGATGCTGAAACAGTGATCGACAGCAAACACCATGTTCCCCTTGGAAGAACGTTGAGGAATATAAACCGCGTCTTTCAAACATTCCACGACACCATCAACACCCTCAGGCGCCACATCACCGGCATCCGCTCCACCAGGTGTCGCTGCTGCAGAAACCACCTTCACGTCCTTGAACCTCGTTTCACTCAGCGTGGCTAATAATCTCTTGCTGAGCTTGAAATTTCAAGCAAAGAAACATTTCAAAATTTAATCAAGGTTTAAAACAATAAACAGATTTACAAATTACCTTAGCTATAACGGATTCTCTCTTTTCAGCTGGTACGAGGTCTGTTTTATTCAAAATGATGATCAGTTTTGAGCAAGCGATTTCCCCGATCACAATACACTCCGCGGTCTGCGTTTGAATGCCTTTCGTTACGTCCACAACCAGCATCATCAAATCGATGATTTGAGCACCTGAAATGATCAGCACAATCATCGTCACTAAGTTTTCATCCCAATTTAAATTATTCTGATTCATTTTAAAACAAAAATCCGCACGGCACGCAAAATAAACTCTCGAATGATGCAGCCGACGTATTTTTTGTGCGTCTCTTTTCACGAACTTTTTTAATTTGTCAAACTACGGAGAGATTTCGCTGTTACTCGTGAAATTAATCATTACATGAGATTTCTACGGGTATCGAAGAGGGGAAACTGAGGAATTTTCCGAGAAGACGTGAAAAATAGCCTCGAGATGAAAATTAACCGACATAATTCATGGTTAATGGAGCCAACTTCTTCATTTTTTGTTGTTTAAGACCTTCGATATGGACAGAAAATTTGAAATCGGTTTCAAATTTTGACTATACTTGATTGAGATGCCATAAACTCCATTCCGATCAGTATTTGAGCAACTGGGCGTAACGCAGTTTCGAACTGAAGTTTTGAGTCACGTTCAGAAATGAAAAATATAGGATTCTCGTTGGAGAGCGACCTTCAACAGCTGTACTTGGTATTTCCGGATGATTCATATTCGCATAGAAACGCTGAATGAATTCGTTCACACGAGAATTCACCTCCAATAATCGTCCTGATGAGAGACGCATGACCAGGACAATCCACAAGCGTGATTTGAAGCTTTTCAAAATCCGCCTCAGGTTTGAGTCTCTCGGGAAAATCGACAACAAACGAACTGAACCCGAGATCCAAAGTAATGCCTCTTTCTTTTGATTGCGGATTCTTGTCGAAACAGGCGGTGCTCGCAACAGTGCTCAGGGCTTTACACAACGACGTTTTCCCACTGTCTACATGGCCGAGAACACCCACATTGAAATTCAACGTCTTCATCTGCGAACAAAACGAGGAAAATTCGACTCCAACAGAAAAAAAATTCACTCCAGAGAGAAAACAAAATAAATTCGGATTCGCCCGTAATATAAATTTCAAATGTCGCCAAACTTTTGGATTTCACCCAGACCTTCCATGTTCCTCCAAAAACATTTATGGATTCATAATTGTCATTAAACCTTTCCAACAATTGAAGAAACATTACAACAGATCCTGGTTTTACACTTTGCTCAGATAAATCCAAAAAAATTGAGATTTAAAACTACGAATTAAAGTCAAGAACTGGCGAAAAATTGGCCTAGATAGAGAGGAATCATTTCTGCCAAAAAACCACGGTTTAAAAACGAACCGAGTACTACATTCTGCGTTACCCACCATAAATGCCCTGGATGATAGTCTTTCAAATGTTCGAAACAACAGAAAAGGAAGGCCATCAAATTTGCAAGCAATAGATGAAAAGGCAATTTTTTCACCGCGCTTTCAAATCTTTGAACTAGGACAAAACCTTCAGTTCACCAAATCGATCGTATTTCGTAACATCAAAACATTTTGAACTTTAAAAAAAAAAAAGGTGCAAGTACTGTCTCAATTTTGGGGAAAAACAGAAAAATAACTTGATGAAATGATGGATTGCGATGATTGTTTCGAAGGTAAAGATTTTTCGGAAGGAGGTCAATCGCAAACTGAAACGGCTTCTCCAACTAACGTTCGATTAAAATGTCCACCGAGTTCAGGCAAAAGTTTGGCCAAACAAAGACAGAAAAAAAAACTCCTGATACGATCCAAGTTTATTTTCAAAATGATGAATTCCTCTGGGAATGCTTCCACCATAATCCTGTTTGCAATTCAAATCAAGCATCGAAATCACAGAAACCCAATTCTTTCCTATACACAATATTGCACTAAAAAAAATCAAACAACAGAAAAACGTAAACACGTAGGGGGATTAAAACGTTTATTAAATGGAGATGCATCCGATTTCGAGAACATATCAATTCTCTTGTGCGATTTTATTCTACAAGATGGGGATGTAGTTGTCAATTTTGGTCTTGTGACGCTGGGCAACACATTCAGCAATCCAAACAATGTTCCTGCATTCTTGTTCCTTCAGGCGAAGGTAGGCGTAGAAGACTCCGTAGTGGAATTGTTGGAGGAAGGCGTTCACATTCAACTTCACTTCGTGCTCGAAGAACTTGTCTTCCAGTGTTTTCTCGCCTGGGTTATTCTGAAAAAAAAAGCAGAGAATTATTTCCTCATTGACTTACAAAATGCTTGAAAACAGTTTAAAAAAATTCCAGTTCAATCGATGCTTTTTTTCAGAAGCCTCACTGAACCAAGAAGCGCATTAATTTTTATCATCTCCATTTTGCGACTCGCAAGAAATGCAAAAATTCAGCATAATCCAAATTATGTCACGAAAGAAACAGGAGACATTTCCAATGAAGTGGTGATCGGTTGTGATTAATAATCAACGCGAAAAAATTGATTCATACGCTTAAATGAACTAAATTACAGTTGAGAAAAACCAGTTAAACATTCTCAAGTCGAACTTGCAGGGCCAAGAAAAATAATTCAAGTTACAGGGAAACAAGCATTTTTGTTGGTACAAAGAAGGAATACAGTAAATTGTAATTGGTGAAATTCTGAATCTAAAATTGCTTATTCAATGAATCGACAGGATGCTGACCTTGGAGACGAGGGTTAATTTGCCCGATTAGCCTTTTCCTTTCTTTCAAAACAAATCAAGTTAAGTTTTAACCGTTTTTTCTTCCCTCTGTCAATGAAATAAAGTAATAACCAAAAGGCCTCCAGAAAATTCGAAGTACAGAGGTTTTGAAGGGAAAAGCCTTTGAGTCAGTGAGGTTTCGAATGAGTTTTTAAAAGGAATTCAGACAGAGTTCAAAAAATGTGACTCAGGAAGATCCCATTTATCAGGGTTCAACTGAATTGAAATATAAAAAAAGACACTCACCCCGGCGCCTTCGAACAACATGGCGTAGTCGGTGTAGTAACTCGCCACCGCCTTCACCTGCTCGTAATCATCCGCCTTTTCCAACATGGAAAGCCCATCGGGAAACAGTTTCCCGCAACGAGGATACAATTTGGCACGATCTTCTTTAGTCAGCTCGGCCTCAAATGCGTTGATCGTGATGATGAATGCTCTCCTGTCGGCTTCAAATGCGAGGATCTCGCACATGATTTCAGCCGTCGCACCGCCCAAATCCTCGCAGAACTTGTAAAATGCCTGTAAAAACAATCATTGAAGCATCACAAATTCTACAATGACGAACATCAAACACATTGAAGTCAACCAAGCGGATAAGTTCGAAATTTTGGACGAAAATAACCCAACAGTGCTTAAAAAGCCACAAAAAGCTTCCTCTCACAAAATGAGCTCTTCCAAGTTCACATCCAATCTTGTAATTTTCCGCAGTCGTTTCTCCTCTTACTTCGAACGCAAGAATACAGAAATATAAACATGATTCAGGAATGGTTGATTATAATACAGAGCTAAAATAATTATTTCAGCGTTATGTTGGATATTTCAATGAATATCGAAGTTCGACAACTCATTCTTTAGACACGGTGCGGAATGGAAAATATAGAACACAACTGACCTCCAGATAAGCCTTGTACAGGGTATTACGGATAATCTCGATGTTCATTTCGTCCAAATCCTGTTGCGAAACGCAGTCGACGAAAAACGGCGCCAAAGGAGTGTCAACGAGAACAGCGTTGTAAAGTTCAGCTGGAGTTGACGCAACGTGGATGGCTTCCATTTGCTCGAAACTTCCCAACGGATGACACTTCGGAATCAACTCGGAAATCGGACGCTGATGCAGTGTTCCCGTGATCAATAAGATGATGTTGTCGATCATGTAACTAGTAAAAATATGGAAAATCACGAATCAGGGATGAAACACGCGACAGTACTAAAAACTGCGATGAATGAATAGCTGAAGCGTAGATCAAGAACACGCAGGACTCCTAACAGCTGTAACAAAATTAACCCAGTAGGTTTTGGGATGAACCAAAACTGTTGGCCTCCCAGACAATAGCTGCAACGCTTCACATAGAAAGAATCACTCTCAAAGCCTCGAAATCGTATTCAAGTCATCAAAATCCACGGTAACCGTCTCACCTGTACGTGATAAAATCCAGGAAAGTTGACAGAGGCGCCACGGCTTGGTTCCTCATGTGCTGGAACTCCACAACAAGCTTTTCGCGAAGCTTATCGTCTATGACAGAAACCGCTAAAGGACCTGCTTCGTTTGCCAAGAAGCTGCCATAGTCGGTGCTCTGAAGGTGAAGCTTTAGATCTTCCAGGGTTTCGCATTGTACGAGGTTGAGGTAATCGCTTTGTTTCAAAATTCCGTTCTTAAAGCCGCGACACAGGCCCTCGAGGTAGCCGGTGTCAATGTTAAACACATACTCCATCATCATCACCATGGTGGAAGCGAACAGGGGATAGAAATACCGCGAAAAAAGCTAAATTTAGTTCCGTACCGACGATCTGAAACACCAAATTGATTTCATTACACATATCTCCGGGGAACTCGACATCATTTCTACGACACCGAGGCACACAACTTCTCAAAAATCACAGAAATCTCGCGGCGAACCTGATTTCCTTCACGGAAGTCCAGTAGAAACACATGGATCTCATCAAGTTCAAAATTTACTTCTGCTGACCATAGGACACTCAATTCCGCCAGAAACTCCACGTTCCAACCACTAACTGATATGTTCACACCGTGAAGCTTTTTTCAATAAAACTTGATCAAGGTTCACGCAAAAGCAAAGGAGACGATTCAGACACGTCGTGAAGCATAACCTTTCCCTTCAGGTTCCCGCAGAAGCGCAATGCTTCTTCACAACGCTTCCAACCGACAGCTGACGAGGTTGACACGTTCGCAAGTGGGTCAATTGAACGGCTTGACTGAACTCCGTTGGGTATCATCCGAGGTCACTTCCTTAACCTTACATCGCCCACTTCATGCATCAACTTCAATTTCTATTCATAGTGACTACTTTACAACCCCATTCCACTGGTTGAACTCATCCTTTTCCAAGAAGTGACATGAGAGAAAGGAGCTGAGCTGCAATGGTGAGGTGCGATGTCCTTGTCATGAACGATCATGTCAACATGATTCATTTCTGTCTGTCACATATAAAGCCTCTTTATCCCTTTTGGCCCTGTTGGGTGATTTATGCATCCAGGAAAGCAGTACAGTATTACTTTCCCCGGTAAGAAAAAACAGGCACTTTTAGGACATGTTCAGCCTTAACTGGTTTTTGGTTGAACAAACCCTTGTACCTTTTGACCTAGCATGAAACAAGTAATAAGCTGTTGACTTACATACACAGTGAGGTCAGTAAAAGCATAAATGCGCATTACACAGAATGTTCCACCAAAAACATTTCCAAGAAAACTTTTTCCGGGTTCAACTCATGCGCACAAGGAAACCAGCAGTTGCTCTTCCTTCTCAACAGCACCCAATTGCCCTGGAGGTGCCTACAATAGAATCAGAGTAACCTCAACCTTGGGTTCCAACCAGCAGTGAACACAAGGGGTCAATGGAGCTGGATTTCTCCAGTGTTTTCTGTAGGTATTACATCACCAGAACCCCATCAACTTGGGAAGGATTGAAGGTGAAGGCTGCAGATGAGTGGACAGAAAAATCTTCACCACTCATAAACTGTTCACCTCATCTGCATGAAAAGCCCACAATCATTTAGTGAACTATAAAAAACCAGCTAAAACTACACTGAAAATTCCTTCAAAGCAACTTCCTGATTCCAATCAATGCTAAAGCATCCAGTAAATAGTACATCTCATCAGATCCGATAAAACGTTGATGGACGAACCGGTTATTCAAAATTCCAAGTTTCATTTTTTGACCTTTAAATTCTCAACTTTAGGTCATCGACAACTTTAAAAACTTGAAGGATTAAACAGTAATGGAGGATCATGGGACTAAAAATTGAAAATCGAGTCTTGAACATTCCTCTTTATCCAATCATACAACACAAATTCAATACAGGAAATTCCTTCATTGACTAAACACAGGAAGAAAAACGCCTGTATAATATTTGTAGTCACACTGGCTAATTATAAGAATTCCAAGAATTACCCAGCAGTTTAAGCCTGCGAATTTTCTCAGTTTGAAAGGTCAAATAAAACGGAAAACTGCACAAAATGAAACTTTTGTACCTGTAGTCTGCATTTCCAAGTACAGTAAAGGAACCTGTTGTTAGCTGGAAAATAAACTACAATAGTATACATAGTCTCCAAGACCATTGAAATATCAAAAGGAAAAATAAATATATAACATGGGATCATTATTCATGTTTCAATGATATTATTGGATCAGGAATTTGGACAAGAGATTACTCACAAAAGAATTCAATGATGGTTTCATTATTCAAAGTATGCACAAGGAAGGACCTATATAAAAATATTTACACATTTCTCATGTAATTTCTTGGGAAATTCCTTTCTTTGCAAACATGCATTTGATGAAATTTCAATTGCCCCAAGTCACAAAATATTGAATGCTCCTATTATTATTTTGTAATTTTGCTCCTTTTCTTTTTACAGCAAAATTGTTCATCCTATCATCAGTGACTTACTTAGAAGATTGAATGCAGAAACCCTCAATACTCAGAATGATTTTAAGCAGAACTTCATATTTCAATATTAAGGCAGAAGAATAAAGTCACCTTAATTATTGCATTGGATGAGGTGACAAAAAAACTATGGTTTCATGGGCCTTTGTAAATTTACTTCAAATCAGTATGAGCTAAAAGTTTAACATTGAACTAATTTGAAACAATTAATTAAGAAGCACTTTCATGCAAAAATGTTTTTTCAACAGACCACAGCAGCTACCATCACTTGATGATGATGATGCTAAGTAAAAATGATCAATTTTGAGATACAAGTCAATGTTGCTGCAAGTTATTTGGTCACCAGCATAATTTTTTTAGTGTCAAGGAGGCATTTTTTATACTCTTGATGAATGGTCTTGAACATGGTCCCATACTGACCAGCAACAAAAAAGTGTTGCTTTTCATTCTTTATTAAAAATTGTGACAGATTTGAGGGCCCTTTCCAAGGCAAATGTATTTAACCTTTCATCACCCTGTAGATTCTAGAAGGTTTAGAGAGTTCAGAAAATGTCTCTTCAAATGAGGTTTTGAATTACTGTACTTTGAATCTAATGGGACACGACAGTAATTTTTGAATGTAAAACTTTGGATGAAGTGCATAGTGGTTGAAAAAAAGGGCTCTTGGTCCAGTTTCTTTTCATTTCCAAACAAAGGACTAAAATGAGAGATCTGGTGAACAAAAAGCTACACTTCATGATCCAATTCTGAAAATATAAAGTTTTATAAAAACAATGCTGTAATTAATTAAACAGCTTCAACATAAGAGGATTTTGGGTTATACCACTTACAGCATATGTAATCTACAAAATCAGAATTACTCTGTGTTGCGCAAATGTAAAACTTAGGGTTGGTTAATCATTGCAAGAATGAGCAAAAATGTAAATACAGTAAACTCTCTCTCTCTCTCTACAACAAAAGACAGGGGAAATTAAATAAATAGGTCCCAAAATTAAATTTGTTGAGCAAAAAAAAATCATTTTAGCCAAGATTGATGTAACACAAAGTCTAAACAGTATCCTGAAAATCAAGCATGGCTAAAAAAGGAAATAAAAATCCCATTGATCAACCTACACAAATTATGCCACAGTACCCACCTTGAAAAATCTCACAAATAATGGGAGTCCATTCAAATTTGACTCAGAGAGGTTCAATTGTAAATACTGTACATCAGACTCTCTCTCCCTGTCTCTCAACAATAAAATTTGAGGGGACCAGAAATAAATCCTCAGTATAGATATAATTTCGTTGTAAAGAACCCCTACAAGACTGGTAGATGAAACCCCCTCTGCTGGGACCAAGAGAAAATCCATTCCACAGTACAAACAAGACTGCTGTAAAAAGAGAACTCCACAAGTACAGTAACACAAATTTTAAACAGTATCCAGAAAATATCGTATCTCTCCGAGTGAAAAAAAAAACAAGCAAAACAAAAAGAATCAATGATGCCCGAGAGAGATGAGCATTCACGAAGTTCCCATGATGAGCTCCCTAACGCCCAAAAAGAAGTTGTGCAACCCATGGGCATTGCACAATACCCCGGGAAAGTGTTCCCCAAGCAGCAGCAGCAGCAGCCTGAGCTTCGCGGAAAAACAATCCCCAGGTACTTTCACATTCCCTGCTAATGATTAATAAATGGGGAAAAAAATAAATAATAATCTCCAGGATCTCAAACCAAAAAATAAAACGCCATCAGTTTATTCCCTGGCCAGACAAAATTATTCAAAAAAAAAATAAACCACGCTGAGTTAAAACCACCCACAAAATAAATACAATGCTCATGATTTTCCACAATGAAAAAAAATACACAGGTGGACTCGCTCTCTACAACGATATTCGTCATACAATGAACTTGTGTGTGTGGTCCTCACGAAAAAATTCGCTTTTATAACTTATCATTGGTGTGTTCTTTTTTTTTCGTATCCTCAGCATCATTGTAGTGAGGTTTCACTTGTAATAAATTAATTTATAACTTCATCTCTCTTTATCTCTCAAATAAAGTTGAATAAATTCGCTTTGCCAAGATTTGTGCGCGTTCATCAGAATTTATCAATATTTCTTGATAAAGTGGGAATTTTAAAAAGAACAAATTCTTGTTCCTGTTCCCAGCAGCAATAATTCTACAACTTAAAAATCATATCAAAACACAATACAATACAGTACTTCACCCTCTTGTTACTTGAAGACGCTCCTCTACAACAACATTCCCTCAATTACGAACTATTTTCTCTCCGAGTTTCTCACTACAACAACATTCTACGTAAGACGAATTTGTTCCGAAACTTAAAAATCTTATAAGTTCCTCTGAAACAAAATTCTTTAATCACAAACAATTTTTGGGATCACTGAGAGAAAATAGGTCTGAAATGAGTAACTTCATTTTCTTTACGCAATATCATCCGTCAAAAACGGCTTCTAATTTTCAGAAATAATTTTATAATTTAAAAGAATTCTGATGAAAACTTCGTAAAAATTCGTCGAATTAAAATTACAGAAAACCTTTCATATTATCGCTATATACTTGTATAAGAAGATTTCTGTCTATCCGCTCTCAAAAATTTTTCACTAATTCATACATACAGTAATTAAATTTTTTTAAATGGCATAAATTTTCCTCAAGTAACGGAAATTTCTTACCGAAACCAAATTCCTTTCCTAAATTTGTCTTCTAGTCCAGAAAAAAAAACATTTCCCCGTAATTCGATCGCGCGTCTTCAACAAAATTCCTTCTACAACAAAGGATATTTTTTCTCCTCATCAAATCTCACGATAATCATTGTAGAGAGAATAAGTCCACCCGCAATAACTTACACAAGTTTCATCCAAATAAAATACAGTGGTAAAAAAAAAACAATAACAACGGGGAATAAGATGAGGCAATTGTGATGTTGTGGGGGGGAAAACCCTGCCGCAATAATGCTAGCGACTTACCTTGGTAACTTCACACTGTTTGCGAGCCGAGGTCGGCGCACGGAAACTGGGTCAACATATTTTTTTCTACTTTGCCGGAGGGAACAAAAGAAACCATTTCACGATAAGCTTGTTCCTAAGGTACCTCTCTCAATAACACACTCACTTCTCAAACGAAACTCGAATTCAGCACAACAAAAAGTGGGAGGAATTGACACGTGAAGAAAAAAAAATGGGATTCGATAACACGCAACACAGAAAACCAAACTTTTTTCCGCATCATATCCGTTGAAGGAAGAACTTTGGCACGCGTGGAAATATATTCGGGGATGAGGTTTTCCGGGGAGAATATATTTGACCTGGGTCAAGAACAACTTTCTTTTGGCCTTGAGTGATGGGTATCATACATGAGGTCAGTTTTCGATTTCATAGGTTTGTGCGATCAGCGGCTTTCACTCTTAGAACTCAATATTGCGCAGTTCTATAAATTATGAAAAGCGTTGAAATTTATGGAGGACCAAGCAGTAATGTCCCGTGGACAGAACATATTTCCACGAATGATCAGCAAAGGTGGAAATATTGTACCTTTCAATTACATTGCAATACGTTACTCTAAATTTATTTAAAACAGAGATGAGTTTTTTCTAAAATGCTTTTAAAACCAGAAAAATTACGAAATTAAAAAAAAAACTCTCGCTCATATCGACGACAAAATTCGACAGAAATTCTGTAGGTCACAAGATCCTGTGAATCTCGCAGGAGAAATAATTTGCCACCATGGTGAGATGAGGAAGAACGATAAAAACTTGACCAACCACCCGGGAAATTTAATTTCCGGGAATTTTTCCTTTTAGTTCCAGACACAGCTGATGAAAGATTTACGACTTATTTCTCCTTCAAGTTCATCGAAAATATTATTTTCGACATCCGGACAAGACAATGATTTACGTCCGGAATACGGGGTCACCAAGAAACAACCAAAAATGCGGGAGTCACAGATGTCGAAGAATCTTGCGAGTGAAATGATATTCCATCACAGATAATATAATCCGAAGAAATTGAAAAAGGTAATCAAAAACTTTATCGAAACGACATCTCAAAAAAATCGACGATATACCGCATTACTCAAAATACATCGGCTCATGATGAAAACCCCGAATGCGCCTGCCTCCATCAGAACTATCCGGAAATCGATCTCATCCCATTCAAACCACAGAAATCTGCAAGTTACACAGGATCTGATGAATCTTCCGCATGAAATAATAGGTCAAAACGATGAAGTTATACGGAAGAACAAGAAGAGAGCTTACAGTCATTAGTCGAAAATTTCAACGGTACAGCGCATATTGCTGAAAATACACGATGAGCTGAAGTTAAAAATACAGTCGATGTCTTGCTAGGACCTTCCATAGAAACCCCTCCCGTTTCAATTCAACTATAAGAGCCCAACCGAAAATCCACGAGTTACAGGATCCGGTGCATCTAGTGGGTGTGATAATTCACCGCCACGACGATGAGATGACGAGGGAATGAGAATAACAGGAAGAACAGGTCAAAGGTAAACTGAAAACTACGGTGGAAGACCATAAGAAGAAGGAGGAGGAGTTGCGCAATATGAAACCGCGAGGCAGGTCAGTCGTCGGATCCGAGGGGAAAGAAACAAACCATTCACTCACTTCACTTCACTCACTCACTCTCTAAACCCACACACAACAACAAAAAAAAGGCAAGGGACACACACACACAAAAAGACTGGGGTAGAGAAAAAAAAAATCACAGCTTGCTGGACATCACAATCCCGCGACATTCGCGCTCGATTCTCGCCGCGAATCCGGGTTCCTCTTTCCCGGGTTGCTCACTCATCGTCACAGAGGAAGGGTTACTATTCTCCTCCAACACAGTCCCGCTGTCGCAGTCACTGTTCCTTCTGGGTTCCCGCTGCCGGAATTCAAGCTCGATCGCCACGTCGTCAACGTCCAGCTCTAGTTCGTCAGAGTCGGATGACGCAGATGACACCTTGCCACTGTCCAACTCGACAGCGATCGTCACAGATGAAGACGACACTTCGGGAATTGAAGGGATTGCAGACGCTGCCGCGTTCAACGCTGCGAGTTCTTCTCTGAAGTAGGCCTGAACCAGCCCAACGTCAACGTTGTCTGGTAGCACTGGCCGCCGGACAGTTGCTTGAACTCCAATCCTCCCGTTGTAGCTCATCATACAAATCAGGATATCTGCAAAAAAATGAATATCTCGAATTTAAAAATCAGAGTTCACATCCTCATGCTTCCACAATGTTAGCTTATTGATATTCAGCATCACAGACCCCCCCCCCCCCACATACATTTCCTCAGAATATCTTTCTAGAACAAAAAATGGTCTTGTTAGCTGTCTGCTGATTACAGAAGTTTCACTTCAAGCTGTATATACTGTAATTGAAATAGGAAACTGGTCTTGAAAGTTTAAATAACATGTGGAAGAGCCAGGAATGGGTTCTATACTAAAACAAACGATGGTGTGCATGATGGTTGAACCAGCTGTTGACCAAACATTTTGCAGAAATAAAAAGAAGCCATTGCCTACATATAATCAAGCCAAGGGTGACTCTCTCACCTGGTGATCTGTCAGGACACAAAGTGGAAAAGAACAAGATGTCCTCCACCTCACAACCGAAAAAGGACAGTTTCTTGGAAGGCCCCTTCACATTAGTGCAACAGAGGGTAACCACTGGCTCCAGTATTCCAACCCCTTTCACAGTGAGCCACTTTGGTATTGGAGTAGAATTTGACAACATGTACAGAGTCCAAGGATGTGCAGATGACTTCAAGTACCTTGAATAATAATTTCAAAAATGTTTGTCAGGTAACTATAAGCCACTTACAGTACTGTATATTGAATGATTTGAATATAGACCCCCATCAGCAGCATAATAATAACTTACTTGTCACAAGCATGCTTAGAAATCATAAGTCTTTCTTCTGGTGACACTTTGTCAGTTGGTAAAATGACCCTGCTGATGGCCACATTGTTCTTCAGCACAGGCTTCTCATCCTTGGCCCAGAAACTCACAGGGACAGTGGTAGACAATTTCCACTTCTCCCAGTCTGGTTTTATTCCTTTGTAACTCGCAATATCTTCACAATATCTGCAATCAATACAAAAAACCAGTTTGAACTTGATGTTCAGTGCATCAGAAAACTGAAGAACTTGCCTCAATATGGCACCAGTGAAGCAGCTGGTGAACACATCATTGATTGAGCAATCAAACTTTTTGGTGACTCCTCTGAATTCTTTAAAGTCAAACATTTCGGGCCACATGACTTCTCTCATGCCAGTTTCACGTCCTGTTTCTTTCACTGGATTCATGTCTGGCATAGAAAACTGCTGCTTCACCTGGAAGTGCACAAAAGTGATCAAAATCAATAAACTAGCTCAAAATTTAATCTAAGCACTCAAACCCATATACTGTAATTGATACTTGACAGTTCAGAAAATATCCTTCATGAATACAATAGTTCAATAATATAGACATGTTTTATAAGTATGAAAATAAATGCAATGCTTCTCAGATATACTGTATTACCAAAATTTCATAATCCACAAGAGGGAAACCAAGAGGGAACCACAAAAGGGAAATGAAGCTCAGTGACACAATGGTGTGATAATTTAAATCCTAGCTAAATCGTGAGTCAGGTTTCTGTTCAGTTATTTTTAGAGTTCCTCAAGAAATAAATTATTTTGGCATAAATTAGCCTTCTCTATATTTTCAGCATGTTTTCAAATTTTTGCTAGCAGACCAAAAATTGAGATGAATCAAGAAAGCTCACAGATTTCTTGACACTGGCCAATGCGCCAGCACACAGCGCCATCCTGCGGCGCCAGCCGAGACTCTTGCCCACGTCAGGGGCATCAATAGGCCCATCACTGAGCGCGGGATAAACGCTCAGCCACAAACTATTGCCGTCCATGATGGAGTGCGAGAAGGCAAACACGACTGCTGTCCGCTTGGTGTCGCTGCTACTCATGGGGATGACTTGCATGCGCCACAGCGGCAGGTTTGGGTCATGCGGCATCCGGCCGGACCAGTTGATGACGTCTATCAACTCCCGCTGGGTTTTGAACGTCACTACCGCCTGCTCTCCTTCTCGGGTCAACCACCTATCAGAAATTGTAAAATACTGTAATTCGTACAAGTGAACCTAGATTGTTGAAGGGCATCTAATTAATCACGGTGTTTAATCAATCCAAAAATACTGGGTCCAAAAATAAGGAAGGTGTGGGTTACTTGAACTCCTGAGCGCTACTGTAACTATAAAAAAAAATTCGAAATTCTTGTGTGCGTGCAAAAAATTCCAAGGTAAATTATCAAATATTCTCATTCTACATTTGAAGGGAAATTTATAACTTGAATTCCTTTTCTTTTCTAAATAGAAAAAATTTTGCACTGAAAATTTGTGCTGTCAAACCAAATAAAATAACACTTGAGTAAATATGGCATATACTGTATACAATACAGTACTTTAATTGAACAAATATTTCCTAGGGTATTTACAACATAGCAGGATGTCATGTCTACCATATTTTCACACGTATTTTTCAAATTACAAGTATTACAAGAAGACTTTGCTCAGAAAAAATCCCCAAAACACTCAAAATATATTTTTATTTGTGCTCAAAAGTGGAGAACTTTCAATCTCCCAGAAACTGCTTTATATAATCCAGGGACTAAATGCTGAATTTTATTACAAAAATAAAATTAGAAACTGGATGAAATGATCTAATGTGAACTTTATTTTGAATGACAGAATATTTTCCATACCATGATGTATCACTGTGGAAACAAAGTGACCCTTCAATTTAAAAATGAGAGAGATTTGAAAAACAGACTATACTCACTTGACATGGTTAGCAATATCAAATCTCTCCACTCTCTGCCAAACATCAAACCCAGCAAATTTTGCAACCCTGCTCCTCAGCTTCAAATGTTTGGTAACCAGGTTATTGTGCACCCTGAGCTGGACTTCTCTCAAATCCACTGGTCCATTGAGCATAAAGACAACCCTGACCCAGTGGACTGGGTCAGCTGACCCAGTACACAACCACACAGCATCACTCCTACTGAACAATTTCATTCTTGGCCCAGGTTTGACCATCAGGAACATTTTGACAAAGCAGTAGAAGAGCATGTATGGCAATGTCAAGAAGATCAGTCCTAGGAGACTCATTGACTTCTGGGCTAATGCCCCCAGGCAAGCCATTTTCTTTCTCCTTGTGTTTCAACCCACAAGTTGGAGTTTCACTATAAAGGGATTTCACAGTTGATGTACCTTGAATGGAAAATTGAGTGAATTAAACACACATCAGTACAATTGGAAACTGGATCTGTTCAAATAGCTCAGTTCAAGATTTTTCCTCTTTTATTGCAGACAAAAAAGATTTTCCTTAGTTGAATATTCTTTTCAGTGTTACCATTGTAGAGGATGAAACATTACTATAGTGTGCTCCAGTTTCACTCTCCTCTTTATAAAGGATTTTTTTCAATTTGAATCACCTTGGTGTTTTAAAATGAAATTTCACTGGACGTGACACCACAGAAAAAACACCATAAAAACATTTTTTGTTCAAGGAACAAAGAACAGTTTTCTAAACCACAGAGATCCTGTGGGAAATTCATGTTCATGACAGTATAGGTGGCAACACTATCCAAGTGTTTTTAGTTTTCCCTTTTTTGAGGAATCCAAATTTTTTAAATTTAAAACCTCAGTGTTTTGGAATGGAATTTCATTGTACGTGACACCAGGAAAAAAAACACCAGCATGCAAAAGTTTCACTTCCATGATTTTTCCCTGTCAGTTAATCCAAAACACTTTGGAGAACTACACAGAAATCTGTGAGAAATTTCCGATCGTGACAATAGGTGTAAGCAACACTATCCAAGTTATTCAATTCCATTGTTCCCTTTCTTTGGGCAATTTTTTTTTTTAATTGAAAACCTCAGATGAGTTTCAAAATTAAATTTAAAATGGAAAACTCCTGTTCATGACAGTATAGGAAGAAACACAGTCCAAGTTATTTTGTTCAGGTCTTCCCCTTTTTTTCGAATAATCTGGATTTTTTAAATTCGAAACCTCAGCTTTTCAAACTGGGATTTTCTTGTAAGTGACAACTAGGAAAAAAACACCATGAAAACTTTTTTCTCCCATGATTTTTCCCTGACAATGATTTAAAAACAATTCGGAGTTCTACACAGAAATCTGTTGAAATTTTCTGATCATATGACAGTATATAGGAAGCAGCGCTATCCAAGTGATTCAGTTACATTCTTCCATTTTTAGCGCCATCCTGATTTTTTTTTCAATTTTAAATCTCAGATGAGTTTCAAAATTGAATTGAAAACGGAAAATTCTTGCCCATGACATCAAGAAATGAAAATTATCCAATTGCTTATAATTTTACCATATACTGTACTGTACTGCATGTCTAATATCTTAATGTAATTCAATTATTTCTAATTAATTATAAAACGGAAAATTCTTGCCCATGACATCAAGAAATGAAAATTATCCAATTGCTTATAATTTTACCATATACTGTACTGTACTGCATGTCTAATATCTTAATGTAATTCAATTATTTCTAATTAATTATTTATTCAACACTGTTTAAGGGCTTCTTATTTTTCCACATATGTCTATAGTACATGTATTGTGATCCAAATTTTGTTTTTTAGAATTAATTAATAACTTGAAAGAAACCAAGTGCTAATTATTTTTCCACAAATGTCTATAGTATTGTCATCCAAGTGATTTATTTCAAATTAATTAATTACTCAACACTATCCAAGTGCTCATTATTTTTTATATACTCCATGTCTAAAATTTTAATCCAAATTATTATTTCAAATTAATTAATGATTGAACACTATCTATTAGCGCTTATTCTTTTTCCAGCATACATGTAATAATATTAGTGTGATCCAAATTATTTATTTCAAAGTAATTTTTTGCTTGCAACTATCCAAGTGCTTATTACTTTTCCACATATGTCTCCAGTAATGTGATCCAAATTAATTATTTAAAAATAATTCATTGCTTAACACTATCCAAGTGCTTATTATTTTTTTTTTTTCTGGCCTTGTCAGCTCTCAAGTTATTTGTTGAACATTTTAGGGAGATGAAAACCAGATTTGGTTAACCTTCAAAAATTGAAAAACTTCAATGCATACAAATTCAAAGCCCTTCCTACAAAAAAACATAATATTCTTCCTCAATCACAATATTAAATTTCCACTCTAATAATTGAAGGGATAATTTATTTTATAACATTGTACAGCATTTAAAACTTTTGTCACTCCAGTGCAGAAAATTTTTCCAATTCACCACAGAGGAAGAACAATTTTTGGTGCATTCACAAAATCACTCAAAATTCACCAAAGTTCTTCCAAGAAATTGAGACCCATCTCCTCAATAACCCAGAGATTTTTTTTTTGCACAAAGCACTAATACTTTGATCTTGATCAATTGAAAAAAGCAAATGAAACCCCTGGTGATATGTGAACAAGTCAAGTATTGATATTGCTAGCAATACTGAATGCAAATAAACTTTTAAATAAGTTAAAATTGTACAAGGTAAAGTTATTTTAGTTTTATCCCTAGATTCTTGAATTCAGTCACAGTGAGAAATCCTTTTGTAATAATGTTCGCTCCTGATGTTCAAAACAAGATTATCAAGTTATAATAAAAAATTTAGTTTTCTCAGGTAAAGCATTTGAGGTTGGAAAAATAATTGGCTGTAAATAAATCATTTTCATTGACCATTCAAGTGTTTTTAAAGAAAAAAAAAACTGACTAAAAGATAACATAAAATATTTTTCACATACAAAAAATTGCATTAAAAAGCTCAATTTGATGCAACTTGTTTTTTTGGTCACAAATAAAAAACAGCCCATCAGTTAGACTTAAAAACAAAATTCAGGACATGTCAATGAATGAATTTACAAAATTCAGGACATGTCAATGAATGAATTTAAAAAATTCAGGACATGTCAATGAATGAATTTACAAAATTCAGGACATGTCAATGAATGAATTTACAAAATTCAGGACATGTCAATAATGAATTTACAAAATATGAAACCAACTGCGCCTTATTTCAATATGTTATTAACAATAAGTAATATACGAATTTTCAAAATTTGGTTTTTCACTGGTATACTGTCTACAAAATTTGTTTCTCACTGTTTTGAATTCACCCCCACTCAGTTCACACAGAAGCATGCGACTGAACCACTCAATAACATGCATTCATTTTTATACACGTGAGTTTATATACACACACTGTTCCAAGAAAATATAAAATAACAACGAAAAATTGGCGGGAAATAAATCGCGGAATTTCCCCCACCGATATCTGAAGACTGAATCACGGGCGGATGACGCTGACCCTTGCGTCAGAAATTGAATTTTTTTCAGCTTCCAAAAAAAAAAATATATATATATATGAGGGTCAGTCGAAAAGTTCTGTGCTTCCATTTACACATTTGTTCGATGCAGCAATATTTGATAATTTCTTGACAGCTTTTTCTGAATTTTTTGCGCAATTTACTGGACTGAATTCCGATTTTTTTAATCATGACAGGAGCAGTACTCAAAAAATCTTTTTATAGCAATTTTTCCAGATCCAGTAAAAATGAAAGAAGTATCAGATTTTTCTTTTTCTACAATTTCTGGAATTTCTTTGCTTGACCTTGCATAAAAATTGAGAAAATACAGCAGTAATAAAAAATAAATTGGTCACGATAGGAAATTAGTTCCAATTTTCAGCACTTGTCAGATTTATGAATTTTCAGGCAGTCAGAATTAAATGGCAGAGGAATTTTTCAAGATAATAAAAATATTCTGGGGTCATTTTAAATCATGTATTTTTATTTATTCATTAACTTTGTCGAAGTGTTTTTTTCTTCGGTTTTTATATTTTAAGGAGTATCCCCAAGTCAAGAGCAATAAGAAATGCGAGACAAATAGGAAAGGAAAAAGAGAACCCCGACCCGGATGCCGGTTCGGTATATCGGGAACAGGCCCAACAGGGGCCAGGAAAAGCATGATTTGTCCCGCCAGTGAAACGCGTCCGGCTGACACGGGGTTACCCCGGGTTTATTCTTTTTTCCCCAGGCAGGGGCATTAATTCTACACTGACCTGAATTCGATTTGAATAATAAAACTATATTACCCTTCTGCTTCGCGTGAGACTGAATCTCCAATGGCCGTCACATAATTTTAAGAACGTATTTTCGCAAGACCTTGGACTAAAAAATGAAATGTGTCAAGTCACAATTTTCCGCCTTTTTCAAGGTTTTCATTTCGATTGCAAACTGGCAAAATCAAGACTCCAGTCATCAGCCTTCAGGATTGAAAAATTCTCATGTCTCACTGAGTCCAAGCATGACATAAAACGGAAAATTCTTGCCCATGACATCAAGAAATGAAAATTATCCAATTGCTTATAATTTTACCATATACTGTACTGTACTGCATGTCTAATATCTTAATGTAATTCAATTATTTCTAATTAATTAATTATTCAACACTGTTTAAGGGCTTCTTATTTTTCCACATATGTCTATAGTACATGTATTGTGATCCAAATTTTGTTTTTTTAGAATTAATTAATAACTTGAAAGAAACCAAGTGCTAATTATTTTTCCACAAATGTCTATAGTATTGTCATCCAAGTGATTTATTTCAAATTAATTAATCACTCAACACTATCCAAGTGCTCATTATTTTTTATATACTCCATGTCTAAAATTTTAATCCAAATTATTATTTCAAATTAATTAATGATCGAACACTATCTATTAGCGCTTATTCTTTTTCCAGCATACATGTAATAATATTAGTGTGATCCAAATTATTTATTTCAAATTAATTTTTTGCTTGCAACTATCCAAGTGCTTATTACTTTTCCACATATGTCTCCAGTAATGTGATCCAAATTAATTATTTAAAAATAATTCATTGCTTAACACTATCCAAGTGCTTATTATTTTTTTCATATTTGTCTAGTTCTGTAATCCAAGTTAATTATTTAAATGGCAACCTCCAGTTTTTTTTCAGGGTATGGCAGTCATGTGCATGTGTTTCCACTGGGGAACAAATGTGGAAAAGCCAGCAAACCTTTCCTTCCTGGTATATATTCAAGGCCCAGGAAGGCGGAAGAACCAAGAGCACACATATAAAAAATGGAGGCTCAAACTTTGTCAGGGTACTCAAAGTCTAAATGTCAGTGGCATCCCACCTTAGTCAAGGTTCCCCTCAGGCAACACATCAGG